TATTGAAAATAATACAATTTAAATAAAGGCTTTAAAATTTGAATATAAAAACAATTGTGTAAAAATTAAACAATTGTAATACTCAAATTAATAATGAAAAGAAACAAGAACCGAATTCGAAACAAAACACTGCCGACAAAAAGATTTTCCAAAACTATTTAACACGTGAACTAAATTAACTAGACTGTTTAAAGCTAATTTGAAATCGAGCTCAAAGCAAATACCGCAGCGTCTATACATAAAGTGCTATCAACTATTCAAGCCATATCGAGTGGTTTATGTCAGCAGTCAGTGCACAACACACGAAATAACACGGCATTATTTAGCACTCTCATTTAATCATTGGCAAAATTATTAACCGCGTTGTTCGGACAATTCAGTCCAATTTACAATTTGTTTGCCCTAAATCTATGCGTGTGTAACCGCAAATGCAGATAATTTAAAACCAATTTATGATAAAAAATACCTTATAGATGCTTTTTTTTGTAACTATTGTTATATTTATTTAGCACTTAGTTGCATAAATTAGTACAAACTATAGTAATTTAATAATGACGGCCTTGTAAGCGCAATTTAACTTAAAGGAAGGTAGAGAAAGAGCTAAATGGAGCTGGAGTTTTACAATTCCTGCCATATATATTTAAGATGTTAGAGCTTTAGACAATTATTATGGTCTTTATTAAAAGTGAAATGACGATTTTATTGTTTAAGTTTGTAATGGTTTTTGTTTTCGGTCGTCTAATTTATTATTTTATCCTCCTCAAGTCCACTTCGCCATCGCAATCTATCCTGTGCTTCCCGCGTCCAACTTCGAACCCCTTTTGTTTCAAGGTCCTTGTCAATTCCATCCCACCAACACAGCCTTGGTCTACCGGGTTTTCTCTTGCCACCGGGATGTGAGTTCAGTAAGGACCTTGGAGTTCTGTCGTCCGCCATTCGGTGCACACGTCCCAACCAGCCTGTTGCGAATGGGACGATGTTGGCATCGTTAAGAATGTTATAAAGTTCTTTATTGTAGCGAATAAGCCAAACACCGTCGTCGCAAACTGGGCCAAAGATTCTTCAATCTCGTCTTTCTTGCTAAGGAGTTTTATACAGAACAAGCTTGGTATTCTTTCTGAGAAGTCACAATCGGAAATATCTACGAAGGCCAAAGTAGCAGCGATTTACAATCATAATGCGTCTACTAATTTCTCAGCTGGAAATATTATCACCAGTCACCATTGAGCCCAAGTAAACAAAATCCTCATATTGTTCAAAGCATACGACTTTCACGACAAAGGGGCTTCTTGCCCTTTGTTTTTTCCACATTTACGGACAGGTCCATAGATCTGGCTGGTGGTTTTTTTTTCGCGGGACTAAATCCAGGTTGTCTGCATACCCCAGTAATTGGGTGTACTTATAAAATATAGTACGTACCTCTGACTTGTAGTTCGACATCTTTAATGCATTGCTCCAACGCTAAGTTGAACGGTAGGCATGCAAGCGCGTCACCCTGTCTAAGGCCATTGTACAAAAGCAATGTGGGGGAGATGTTACTTTTTTTCTTTACACAATTTGTCGAAAAAGCCATCGTCATTTTAGTAAGCCGTATAAGTTTTAAGGGAATATTGAATTCACTCATTGCCTCGTAAAGTTTAGGACATAGAACGCAATCGTAAGCTGATTTAAAATCTATAAATAGATAGTGTGTGTGTGTAATATCATCCTGAGTTCAAAAACTTGGTCCATAGTAGATCTGTTTGGACGGAAACCACATTGATACTGATTAATTGTGTACTCAACATATGGCTCAAGCTTATTATTTATTACTAGTTAGTTATTTTCTCATGTAAATGAATTTTGTAATATTTTACAATCAAAATAAATATCTTAAACCTTTATTTAAACTCGAAAGCGTTAATTTAATTTTGATTTTACAGTTCACACAAATGTTCAGTATCTCAAAGTTTGTATTTTTGTTACTAAACTCTACCCAGCAACGAAAAATAAACAAAATTGTTCGCTGCCATCTCGCTTTGTAATTTTTATCTTTTATTTCATGAGTCGTGATTTTACTATTTATGAAGTAAACAGCCAGGAGAATGTGGGCTGACTCGCTTTTATTTGCAACTAGTCCCTTTTTGAGTATCTTGTCGAATAGAACAACACAGGATTATATAAACAATAAAAGATTTTTAATCTACTGTGCAAATACTTGAAATTAAATACAAAGCTAAATTTAATAAATTAGCTGGACTTGAAATAGAAATACGGAGATTTACTTGTCTTTCATTTCCCAGTTTTTATTTACTATATGTTTTAACGAGTACTGTACTTTACTTGACTATACTGCAAAGTAAAGCACTCATAGCGAAGAGTCCTAGGTTCGCAGCGAAACAATAGTTTTGCTCCGGTAGCTCAGTAAACTTTCGAGGGGTCTAAAATACAAATAAATATTGATAAAATATTAACGAGTCGCAGAAATCTGCGCCTCAGAGAAAGGAAGTTACGAGCATTATGCTGCTCCACAGCATAATGGTGAGCCAGGGCTAGGGCCAGTTACATCCATAACACACACACATTACACACTTAAAATCTACGTTACTCCTGTTTTTCCATAATTTTTTGTTATTTTTTATTCTTTTCTTTTTTTCTTTGATTTTTTTTTTATTACTATTATTACTTTGTGAATTTCGTTAGTATTAAATGTTATATCTATGTCTACACTTCGAAAATTTATAAAGTATAAAGAAATTAAAAGACTGCATTTGTTAATAAAAATTTATTTGCTAATTTTTTTATTGATTTATGTAATTTTTGACCTGTTATGTTTTCTCTACGAGTCTTGTAAGCCATTAAATTGCTATTGAAATAATGAAATTCGGATTTATTTAAGGTTTTATCATTAAAACAAATATATATGGTTTTTGTTAGTACAGGAATGTGAAACCTGTCACGGGCACATAAACCAGTTTCCATTATTGCAACAGGGATAATGAAAGGCACCGCATCCCTGAAGGATCAAATGTATCTAAACAAAGCACTGCCTTTCATTCGTTGGCCTTAAATTAAAGGCATTCGGGCTTTGCCACTTGCAAATGGAAATTGTTATGATTTAGGTAAAACCTCTTTGTATTCAATGCCTCTAGAAATACCTTTATGGCTTGTTTAAGATTTATAAGGAAGTTTACGTGAATTTTAATAAGCTAATCCAAAGCATAGATTTCAAGATTTATTTTTTCACCTAAGCGGATAACGAAAGAATAATTATAATTTATTTGATTAACAAAACACTATATATTGAGGTGCTAAAATAATATTGATGAATATAAATATGCTAAATAAATCCGTCTTTATATAGAACGGGATAAGGCTCATCTAATGTTAAGTGATACCATGGATACTGTCAATACCAGAGGACTGACGAGTGTGTTGCCGGTCTTATAAGAATTGGTACGCTCTTTTCTTGAAAGACCCTGAGTCGATTTGGTACGGAAATACTTCAGTAGGCATCTGTGTGGCTTGCCTTAAAAACGCTGTGGAACGACTGACGTAGAGGTGTGTGGAATTTCGTGATCTGACGAAGACGAAGGCAAACTTAAGAAAAATAAAAAATAGAAACGATTTTGCCACAAGCACATGCACATACACTTATGTCGGTGTGTATGTGACCACACATAGACTATAAGTGGCCACAGCTGTTTTAATGTGTTATGTAAATATTTACTTATTTTGATATCATTTCAACTGTAATGTAAGCTAAAAGATATTAAAAGCCTTTAGAAATAAAACTAATTAGGTTGCTCAAAAATATTCCCGAATAAATTCAAAGTGTTTTAAAGGACATTACATTAATATTTCTAAAAACATTAAGCAACACGATTCCTAAATTAAACTCGCCGTTTGAACAAGAAATGCCAAGCGTTCTACTTAAATTTTCTCAAAAGAATTATGAAGAGAGCGGTGTCACCCATATAACAAAATAATAAGGTATTCCCATGGCACTTTTAGTTGTTTCCTAGTGTAAGGGCTAGTTGATCTAGTTCTTAGGGTAGGAAATTAAACACTCCAATGATGACTTGATTCACTATAATTCACTTCACTGATGTGTTACAACCTCTTTTATAATCTATTCCCTACTCCGACTCGAACATCCCACTTCGGGCAGTTGTTCGAGTCAATTCGTAACTATTCGTAAACAACCGAACGAGTCAAATGAGTAACTATTGCACATGCGCACTTGTAGCAAGATTCTTAAGAATATGTTTCATAAAAATGTTTAGAATTTAATTTAACAAATATTAAAAGCTGACACTAGTTACACAAATCTGATAAGAAAATATGTTTCGTCTGTATCCGTTAACAAAGGGAAATAAAATTGTCAGCGTCCAACGACAGCACTGAAGCATAGTTGCTCATACAATTATTGTTTTATATTTATGTGAAGGAAGATGGTGTTCTGCTCCTCCAACCTAAAGGAATGATACTCGACCAGTCTAACTACTAACTGGCCTGCCCAAAAGAACCCAGTGGCACAGGTCAAGAAGCTATAGATATTTTGAGTGACTGGAATTACTTCGAAATCGCGTTTTACGGTAAGAAGACATCGCAGTTATTGTATCCGTAGAATTTAGGTGTTTCTATAAATGCAACATATACATTTTGAAGAAAAAATATATACGAGTAACCCACGGGTTTATTTTTAACATTTTTTATATGACAAGCGAATAAAACTTTAAAGAACTTTCACAGATACACAAAAGCTCACAAATATACTGTTTCCAAAATCCATTTGTTCTTAATTTAAATGTGACAGAGTGTTCGTCTTTTTTATGTTTCGCCTATGACAATTGACGTTTCTTTGAAATATTCTTTATATCACCCCATTCATTTTTGTTTATGCAAGTACATGACAAAATATTAACTACGAGTAATCAATTAACTCTAGACTGGAAAGGTCCAGCCTTAGAGGTTATGACGGTATCATTTTCTAAGTTACCTATACATTATTCAACCTGTCATACCCTATTTTCTTTTACCAGCGTGTCATCGAGGTAGGCATTCGTCGGAATCTCGCTGGCAGGTTTAATTAGCCGGTTTAATGAATGTCGAGGCACGTACGCTGTAAATGCGGCCCATTAGCTGTGTTCACGCAACGTTAACAATGGTGTTCTAACCACGGTGTCTTAAGAATTAATAAATCACAAAATAAATGTCACTATTGTTTTCTCTTATCTCATCTTGAACAACAAATTTCCGGTTCTAAGTTTTGGGGGAACTACCTTTTGTTTTGTCTTGACTTAAAATAAATAAAAAGATTGGTCCTGTGGTAGTGTATCCCTAATGGAAGCATTTCCTAGCTGTATTGTGATGCTTATGCGCTGAAAGAAAAGAGCACCAGCTCTAGGGTCATCGATACTGTCCTGTGTCCACCAGACACCAAAGGGACTAAGTTAAAGTTGGAAGAAAGACTCTACTATTTTGCCGTTTATGATTTTCCACGTCAGCGATGTGTCCGACAGAGGTGCGACGGGGCTAACGGTAATGCTACTTCGGTGGACAACACAAAAAGCATCCCATACCAAAGCCGACCCATCCTCCAAGGCTCCAATAAATGCCATCAGGTCGCTTTCCACCGTTCCTATGCCAGTTTGCACCAAAAATTGTTTCAATATCATCAGGAGGCAAGGCAACGGCGTCAAGTAATAATCCCATTTTGAAGCTTATTTTATTTATTTATTATATTTATTCACACTTCGTTGCATTAAAAAAAACACAATATATACAAATTATAAGGGATGCAACGGGCGGCCTTATCGCTAACAAGCGATCTGTTCCAGGAAACACTAGTAAGGGAAAAACTAAAAAAAGAAAGAATTATGATGAGTAAATTGCATATCCAAATCTATAAAAAAAATTATATAACCTTAATCTAAAATACAAAAAAAAATATTAATAAAATAAACAAAAACAAACAAACTACAAGAATTATTTTCTATTAAATAAGTACATACTTAAATCTGACATAGATTTAAGTATAAGTCTGATGACATCGTATTAGCGACTTAAATGATTATTTCATTATATCTTGCAACACTAATCCAACGAGGAATCAAGTTTTTGTTCAAATCGAATTTCATTGATTCAGAACTCGAAACTGTCAGTAGTAGGTGCACTGTTTAAATATAGACTATACAATATTAGTTAGCAAATACGATCGCTTTTTGTCAAAGTATATTTATTCAATAACAATTTTACAAATTTCGTTCGTTACAAATAACAATTTCAATTACTTCCCATACACCACATTCCCACGCCGGCTTAGACTCTTTGTCTCGCTTTTCCGATGCTACAAGTATCAACGGTGTGTGAATCACCTTCTACTGGACTAGACGAGAGAGAGACTATTATGTAACACAACTGAGCACAACGTTTTTCAAGGCAGTTTTTGCCACGCACCACCAGTTTGTGGAACCAGCTGCCCACTGAAGTATTTCTGAACCAATTCGACTTAGGGTCCTTCAAGAAAAGAGCGTACCTTAAAAGGCCGGCAACGCACTCGAGAGACTTCTGGCATTAAGAGTGTCCATGGGCGGCGGCGGTATCACAGATCACTTAACATCAGGTGAGCCTCCTGCCCGTTTGCTCCCTGTTCTATAAAAAAAAAGTACGTGCGTACAAAGTACACATGTCAGAAGTGAAACTTCTTTGGCAAACTATTTTTTAAGTCTTGTTCATATTTATACAAATCTAAAACTTTAGATTTCCGAGACTTAGAGGGCGGGAAAAAGAAATATATTAGGAATATAATGAATTTAAATGTCATTAAAATATTAAAAGTGTCGAAAATTAATACAAATTATTATTTTTTTTTCTTCAATAATAAAAACACGTGGCATTTTAATTTACAATTCGTCATTTGAGATTTCAATGAATTATTATGCTTAAATATAAAATACTAATATTTCATAAATTCTCTTTACGAAATTTTAATTTTAAAAATAGAATTTCTTTAAGGTAATTCGCCCTTCTCACTCTTTCTCAATCGGTCTCAAGCGCTCTCTTCCTTTTCTTCGACAACACTACACATCTTTGTGACGCTAATATTATTATTTTTGCGTTACATCCGTAAAAAATTTACCCTAATGCGCGTAAAGAAGTTTCACTACAAAATAAATGGTCTGCCTTGCGATTCTGTAACTCACTTTTCGAACTCTCACTGCGGTTTTCAATCATTTTACGATTTGGCATTCTGATAAACAATAAACTACAAGCTCCCTCCTTATCAGAATGCCAAATCGTAAAATGACTGCTTCACGACTGATTTGAGCGCGACCGCCGCTGCGAAAACCGCTGTGAAAGTTCGAAAAGTGAGTTACAGAATCGCAAGGCTGTTGTTAATTCATTTATACGTAGAGGAGGGCTGGTGTTCGTTTCCTCTTAAGAAAGAATCCTCGATAAGTCTAACCACTGACTGGTCATCCAAAAGCCTCATTTGCAAGGTGGAGAAGTTTTATAATATATCCTCGGTCTCGACCGCGTTTGAAATAACTTTCTTTACGCAGTGATTGTGACCGTAGATTGTAGTCGCTACAATTAAGCAAGACTGGCGTACGTATATAGTCTGGCGGTAAGACCAGAAATAAGAAAAACTAAGAACGAAATATAACTCGTTTGAATTACGTATTCTCTTTGTCGAATTTTAATATGTAAAAGAAAATGTATAAATGTTTACATAATTCTTGCAAGACGTTTATGTTAATTTAACTCGAGAGCAATAATGTAGAAGAAATATCGCTCTAAAGAACTCTTGTTACCATAAAATGTTTAAGTGAGCAAGCCCGAACATTCACTGTAATTATTTCACACAGATTTTTCTCTCATAAATAACATTTTATGTGATTTAAAGAAAAATTTAACTCCGTCTAAATAAATGTTATTTTCGTTATGAAACAGTTGCAGTTGTGACAATAACATATTACTTAATTGTTTTAATCAGGTTGATGAATCGTTAATTTCTTGGTACAAACTACAAAGCATGTCCGAAAAAGAGATATAATATAAAACTTTTGCTTTGATAAAAGTCTGATTATGGATTCCGAAAAACGGATGCAAGGGACTATTAATTGTTTAAATGTAGAGAACATTGCCAGAGTAATTATAAAGATTGCTTGAGCCCACAAACATAGCCCTCCACCATCTCATGAATATCGAAGGTATTCAACTTCTTGACACCACCGGCAGATGGAAAAAGACAAAACCATATTAGTGTTAGTGCAATATGTTAGCCTTAAGTGCTTAACAATGGTAAAATAGAACACAAGAACAGGGTGTCTTAATAAAAGCTGTAAGTAGTGTTATTGGACACTATCTTATATTAAATACCCTTATTTATAAATTAAGTATAAACAAGTAATGTTCCATGATATTCTAATTAGTGAAGACACAATGTATTTAAAAAAAAATGTTTAAATCTGTCATCTCTGAACGTTGAATGGGAAAAATTTATGTAAAAGGTGGCGACTGACATTGAATATTGGCTCGATGTGAGGACGTTACCAGTCCAATATTTGACATGTCAGTACATCGAGCCGAGCAGCTCGATATGAGCTCCGACCGCCCGAGCGCGCTCCAATCGGCTGTCGGTTTTTTTGGCGAATACCTTTGAATGTTATATGACAAGTCAGTCGCCACCACCTCTACGTCCGCCATTTTGACTGCAACAACTTTCATGGGATGGAGCACAGGCGAATCACGAATATTCAGGTATTGTGAGCATGCTCACAACGAACAAATATTCATTCGAATATTCACATCGAGCGAAAATTCGATGTCAGTCGCCACCTTAATAGCATATTCGTACTTGGAGAAAAATCTTAATATTACCTTAATCTGAAGATACCATGTTTTGAATACAGAATTCCATTTAAATTTATTATCGCGTCCATCCTTATCCGGTAAAGTATACGCTTGGTAAAGAACAATTTAGTATCATTACGCTAATAAGCAAAACAATCTGAAATAATTAGCGAGATAATTATAATGTTGCTCGCTCCTAGATATTTAATATTCGCAACGATGCAATTTAATTACCCGCTTTGTTAATTGATTGACAACAAAATGTTTGTAGAATTTCATTAGCCTAAGGTAAACGCTGTTGCAAAGATAGTGAGAGTTGGTTGCTGAAATCGGCAAAATTAAATCTCGCATCTATTGTATTGACGGCTTTCCAGTAAACTTACAACGTTTGGGAAATTGCTAACAGACAATGGAAATGAAATTATCATACAAAAGCGTGGAGGCGCACTTCTTAAATTTGCGTTTAGCTGGCTATTATCAAATTGATTTGCGGTCGGCGACAATCTATAGATCATTACATAGGCTTTACATGGGTTTTGTGCTTTCGTTGATGTTGGTTTATACGATGCAGCAGGCTTTGAAGGTTTATGAGGTATTTACGAGTACAATGCGGTTTTAAATAATTATTCTTAAGAGACTTTTAGATAACTTTGTGATAAAATTGTCAAGTATTCTTCAATAGAATAATGTCTGATCTATAATATATGTATATGTTAGTGATTATTGTTACCAGTATATTACATTAATGTGGTTCTCGCACTAAACTTCAAGTATAAGACGTGCCACAAACGTTTACCGCCAAAATTACTAAACTCATTAGCAAATAATAAACTATAGTTATTTGACTGTTTTCGAAACTATTTTCTTGTTTTTTATTTATCTTGAATTTAATGATACTTCTTAATTTAATAACCATTTAATCATTTAATTAACTTAAGTATTCATTTATCCCGTAGAAATGCCGTAATATTTGATAACTTATTTTTAAAAATTGCAAGAGTATTGGCGCAAATTGCGTCAATCCGTAACATCATATTTGACAATCGATTTGCTTTAATGGCCTAAATACGTTTAATGTTAGGACACGTTTCTTTAAACTTTAATTTATTTTTTATTACTCAGGTCAGGGAGAATCTAGGGCATGTGATGGGTACAATGTTTTTATTTTTAACTCACACTGATGCTATTTACAAACAAATTCTATTATGGGCTCAACAAAATGACATCGAAGATCTTCTAGACACCATGAAAGGTATTATACGTAGTAATGCAGATTAATGTAACCGCTTTAATTAGGATAACAAGTTGGACAATAATAGGCTAATTACATTTCGAACCCCTTTTTATAAAATATAGTATAAGTGAACTAGTGCTTAAATTAAAAAAATCACCAAAGCTTACGTGTTTGGACAAGTAGGCGAGTGTGTGTATAATAAACATGAATTATTTGAGCCATCATGGCGTCAGATTGAAACGTCAATACAATTTTAAAAATAATCACCGCGCGCTCTAATGAAAATTATGTATTTATTTTTTAAATTATAAAACAGCTAACGTTAGTAAATTGTAATTAATTTACGTTACTTTTCATATAATACTAATATTTAATAAATTCTCTTTACGAAATTTTAATTTTAAAAATTTAATGTCTATAAGTTAATTCGCCCTTCTTACTCTCTCTCAATCGGTCTCAATCGCTCTCTCCCTTTTCTGCCACAAAATCGCTGCACATCGTCGTGACGCATGCGTAAAATTTTACACTCATGCGCCTAAAGAAGTTGCACTTCAATAATCGTGACTTGTTTTAACTATTGAAGCGTATACGTTTATGAATAAGGGGTTGTAATAACAAAAGCAAATATTTATTAGGACCCTCATATAATCAAGGGAAGAAGGAACATAATTATTACTTACTAAAAACGATCCGTGTTGCAAAATTACTGCTATTCTCCAACAATGGTTTGGCCGTCGCCACCTGCTTTTTATGGTTTGTCTATCCGATTTACTTACACATCAAGGGAATTCCATTGGATTTCACAATTTGGCTGCCTTTCGATGAAAACCAGGACCCATAGTAAGTTTATATACATTATCCTTACAGACTATGCCAACGATATGATATTACGCGTCACGTTGTTTATCCGCTATGGACGCATGGACTACTTAAGCGATTTCAACCAAATTTGCACACCGTGTGCAGTTTGATCTAACTTAAAAGATAGGATAGCTTACATATATATAATTCTACTGTACGTGTGTATGTCACTGAACTCCTCTTAAACGACTGGACCGATTTGAATTTTTTTTGTATGCGTTTGGGTGGAGCCCTGGATGGATGTAAAAAAACCTATGAATTTTAATGTGTGACGGAATTTATACTATGAAGGTATGTTAAACACATTATGATTTCAGTTTCTATATAACCGCAGTTTATTCTTGGATTACCACAACCTGGCTTGCAATTGGTAACACAACAATGGATGTGATGGTATCCACGCTTTTGGCACAAGCCAAGACTCAACTACATATACTGGGGTATACATTTTTAAATCTGGATTTTTAATTATTTATTAGACTCAGAGTACATTAATAGTAGTTTAGTAATAAATTCACCGTATTCGGAAGTTAAAAGGTGTTTTATGGCTAAATGCGGCGTTAAACTTCCTTTAACAGCAGTGTAGCGTTTTAAAAGTGCGTCTCTCTTTGTCGCTTGCTACTCCTCCCTGGCTGGGAAGGATTATTTATTATATGTGCGAACATAACGTATGGAAGAAGAATGTTGTAAGCTTCCTCCAAAGAAAAGGAAGGATCCTCGAACAACCTCCTAACTGACTAACTAACCAGCCAGAAGGTCCCAGTGGCTAATAGTCGACAAGTTGTTAATAACTTAAGCGATTGGATTAACTTCGTTAGCGGGTTTCACGGTATGACGTCACCGCAGTGATTGTAGCCTCGGATTGAAGACACAAGACTTGGTCAAAAAATAACGATATGTGTGTCGGAAAGACTGATTTACTTGTATATAAAAATTAAAGGAATAGGCTGTCTGACACAAGACCATACAGTGTTGTAGCACCCAGGATTACATATTTTGTTACTAAGCATTTAAGTAAATCAAATTTTCAAAATATTTTATAAAAGTAATAACATTTGCAGTTAAGGACACGCTTAATGTATTGTGTTTAGCCTTAACGACGATTTCCAGAAAATAATATTAATATAATACATAAGTATTATTTATAAGATTTGTTTAAGTAGCTTTAGTACGATAATAAGATTTATTACAGTTACAATCTTTCTACCATCGTTGATGAATGTAAGGAAGACAATGGCAATACATCAGAAAATGTCTCCGCATTACTGCATCAGCGTTTTAAAAATATACTGAGGCACCATGAGGAAATCGTAAGGTTAGTAAAAAAACCTTCAAATTATTCAAAATGTAACAATAATGGAAAATCAAATTCGCGACATTTATAATTATTTTAAATTATAAAACTTCAAAACATGTTTTATATATGACATTACGAAAAAGTTTCAATTGCACTTTTTATCAATCTGTGGCATGTCCCGACTTATAGTCGAATTTTTAATTAGACGATATCAACTGACGTTTACGGTGTTGTCAGTTTTTAATGAAATAAAAATAGTGTTGTGTTTGTCACATGATTTGTGAATGATTGAAAAAACTCCTGAATTAATAAAATTGCCTCGATTGCCTAGTGAATAGTTAACGTTGCGTACTGCCGATATCGGATACGGGTTCGAATTTTAGTCGTGCTTTGAACATACCAACGAGTTTAGTACTAAATACCAATTGTTTTTAACATTAAGGAAATCATTGCGAGGAAACTTGTAAGACTGTCCTATTCTCAATATATCATGTAGTTTATACTATAGATGTTTAATAATATAACAATTATAGGTTGGTAATGAAAATAATAAACATCGCTTATTACATAATTTGTTTTTATTCATCATCAGATAAAAAATCATCACTATCGCTTTCGGTGACATTAATAATAAATCTGTCTGAAACATTGTCGATCATGTCGTCGAGACCATACATTTTATCTTCTTCTTTCATTATGTGAGACACGCAGCTACGCCATTTATCAGGTGTGATTAGTTTAAGTCCTTCTTCAAAAAGTTTTTTTACTTCTGTCATTTTGAAGGTTTTATTATTTTTTGCAACATATCCTTTAGCCTGCGCCCATACCAACTCAATGGGATTAAGCTCACAGTGGTATGGGGGCAGACGTAAACAATTATCTCATGCTGCGCTGCTATCTCGTCCACAACATACTTTTCGAAATGATCTTGTTTGTGCTGCCGTACAATGTCTATAAGAGTAGCTTTAACCATTGTTGCTTCGAATGAAATATTTTTGCTCGTTAGCCACTCTTGTATTTTAGGTTTAGTCCAAGACATTTTAGGCAGCGATTCTAGTTTCCTGGAGTGGTAGGGGGCATTATCTAGCACTACAACGGAATTTGGTTTTAGTTTTGGCAAGACTCCACTAAACCACTTCTCAAAGGAATCGGCATTCATTTCTTGATGATAGTCTTCTTTACTTTTTTTGGCTTCAAATATTAGTAAGCTGTCTTCTACGAATCCTTCTTCCCCACCTATGTGGCCGATAATTAATCGTTTGCCCTTTCCTGAAGGCTGTTTTAAGCCAGTAGTCAGGCCATCTAGGAAGGCCTGGCGAGTCGATAACACTGTCTGGTCAATCCATGCCTTCTTCGGTGCATGACCTACAAGATAATGAAAAATAACAATTAGTTAATGAAAGTACAATTTAATGTAAAGAAAACAGAAAATTGTAATTACCTTCGTTGATCCAGGTTTCATCTTGGTAATAAATATACCTTCCTTCCCTTCGATACTCTTTAATTTTGCGAAGGTATCGCTGGCGCCATAACATAATGTCCTGTCTGTCAATTAACATGCTTTTTCTTGATTTTGTGACATATTTGAAATTTAAATGTTTCATAACATTTCTTAATGTACTCCAAGAAAAATTGGGTAAGTCTGGGTCTTCATTGACAACCTTAAGAATCTGTGAAGTAATAAAAAAACGTTTTTGAGTAAGGAAGTCTACGCAATCTAATACTTTGGTTTTACAAAGATCATTATTGTGGAAACAGAATATAATGCAGTCGATGGAATAAAGTTTGTTACCTTTATAATGGTGGGTGACTCATTTGCATAAAAAAATTATGAACTTTTCGCCTTATAGCGGCCAAAGTAAAATCGTCTAATTTATCTTTGAAATTGTGTTTCGGTCCACGTTTCTCGGGAGACTTAAATTGTTCATTTTCTTTGTATTCTTTTAATACACTGTAAACTGAGGTCACGCTAATTCCCAAAATGTCAGCTGTTTTCGAAACACATTCTTTTTTTCGGGAGCCTCAATAGGTAATAGTAAAGCAGCTTTCTCCTCAAATACGTGTTTGTAGACGTTTTGTATCATAACTTTTTCGGTAACGCTTAAAGCAATCCGTGGTCTCTTCTTTCTTGGAGACAAGCTTTGGCTTGACGTGCTTGGTTGAGGATCCATATCGTTTTTACGAAACAATATAGAAATAAAAAAACACAACAATAACCACAAACACAACGTAATGAAAAACTTAACAAAAACTATAACTAAACAGCGTGAGCGCAGAAAAAACATTCGTGCTATCAGACCAGAGGTTAGAAGCCGAATGACAAACAAAATGGCGACCGACGCGCGCGGCGTCGATCGGTGTTGGCACTAGTCGCCTCGCCGCGCTCTGTATTACAGCCGTCAAAAAACTGATTGTAGTTACATACTACTAGTACCTAACTTATATCAGAAATCTTTTATACAATTTTAAAATAGTAATAATATTATTTTATAGTTTGAAATGATTAACTATTCACACTCACTCATTGTTCATTCATCTGATTGAACAAGAACTGAATGTATCACTATTACTTTAAATGTGGCAACATTATTTTACTAAGTGACATTAGCTACTGTCAGATAGCTTCGTCTAATTAAAAATTCGACTATAGCGCATGCGCGATTTGTTTGGTTTTGGCGCCTAATATGCGTTTTATTACGCCGATTATAATCGTTAAATTTAGACTCTTGCTTTATTTTGTCGAAGAACATTTTCATGTACTCGATATTTAAGTTAAGGTGGAGAAAAATTGTAATTTTTAAATATAGTATGATGAATTAAATATACGTTTCGAAAAACGTATATTTAATTCATCATACTACTATACCTATATATACTATACCTACTATTAAATTTTACTCCAAATAAAATTTGTTCCGTATTGTGACTAGCTATTTACATGTTCTTCAGAATATTTAAAATCACATTACCGTAGAAGACAAGACATTGGTATTACAGATAAACCCTGCGAGTTAGACTGTCAGTCTATGTAGACCCACTTGAGGCTTTAAATGCTACAATTTGCAAAGCAATGTTGCCAACTACAAATTGTAGAGCTTAAAATATAGATTTATATTACGTAAATGAAATATGATACTTGATAAATTCTAATCGACAAACTTATTTTAGACAATTAACAGTCAAGATGAAATAAAAAAATGAAGGAATGAATTTTTCATCATTATCGACTAAAAAAACAGATAACTTAAAAATTATGTCTAATTGCTTGTCTCGGAATAATAAGGGATTATACTTAATATAATTTCACTTTTAAAAGAATTAATTTATTTAATACGTATTATTTCGATAAATTTTTGCAGGTTTACAAAAAATATTGAAAATATCTTCGGTAACGTCTTAGCGTATCAGTTCTTGATTGGCGGCTGGATTATTTGTACCTCTGTTTATCGATTGGTTGACGTGAGTACTTATAAACCAGAGTTAGCGCTTATGTTAATTGTATCCATCTTACCTAATAAATATAATTACAGATAGAAATTGTATCTATAGAAGGATTTTCAATGGTCACCTATATAATTTGTATGCTATTTGAATTATTCATTTATTGTTATTTTGGAAGCGAGGTTACTCAAGCGGTAAGTTTAATTAAAATACCTTCTATCGCCTCTTATTATCAGTTGAGTTAATCAACGCACTTGCGAGCCTTCTGCCAATGTGAGTGTCCATGGGCGGCGATATCACTTAATATCACGTGAGCCTCCTGCCCGTTTGCCTCCCATAAAAATAATCAGTTGACGTTGAAACAGAATTCAGACCCATCGTATTACCTCAATGTGTGTATTTTTTTTCACATTTTCCAGTATGAATCAGCTGCCAATCCCGAATCAAGGAAAAAGTTGCGCATTATATAAAAAAAGTTTAATTTACCAATACGTATTTATCAAAATTGTATATTTACACTCAACCCGTGACCGTGGGCACACTAAGCCTCGATACTATTTAAATTTTCGAAAAAAAAACACAATTACAACAGTAACAAGTTTTCAATTACGTTAAAATATATTTTCTTTCCAAACACTAAAATAAATACCAGCAAATATAAATATTCTAAATATAGAATGTAAAGAAACAAAATTATTAAAGAATAATTATACTGATTAAAGCTTAAAAATAGAAATACAAAACACAACCACTTTAACCAAAAGTGGGCCCAACTCAACTTTCACTGTCACCAGCAACACTAATATTTTGGGAGGCTATTACTATCTTGGAGTGATAGCTTCACCCGTTATTCGATACACACTAAACAAAAGTATTTGTGGACCACAGTCTTCGTTTCAATAATTTTCTACGTTTTTAGAGTATGGAACTCACAGACGATGCATACTCTATGAATTGGCTTGACATACCAGTTAAAAATCGTAAAGAATTAATTATTTTTATGGAGAGAATTAAACGGCCTATACGAGTAATGGCCGGACGTATTGTACCCCTCTCAAACGACACTTTCGTTTCGGTAAGTTTAAATTGTATATTATTTCATATATCATTATTTATTTTAACCAGAAAAGAGAAAAGATTTTAATACTTATTACTAAAAATTCTACATTTTGCCCGCGTAACAGGTTGTTATTTATTTTGATGCTGCTACTTTTGAGAAAACTATTGACGAAATGTCTTGTACGAAATATTGTTTGCTATTATCTTATTTTTTACTTTTTCTATTTTTTATTTATTTTACAAAATAATATAATAAAATCATCATATGTTACATTAGAACACCACTGTGGTTTATATTAACCATAGCAGTAGTAGTAGGGAACGCGACAAATTCATATAAAAGTAGTTTTTCATCTTATTTTTTATGTTGGTTAACGTTAAGGTGGGAACTGACCAAAGTTACGAGATGTAATGTAACACGTTACAAAGCGAACATTCGTGCAGTCAGTACGTCGTGTTGCGGGGAAACCAGCGAGCAACGAGCCGCTCGTTGCTCGCTTTGAGTGCTCCACCCGGCGGTCGGTTTTTCAGCGAATCCTTTGACTGTTACGCGGTTCAGTCAGTACGCGTCGCACGTCGCGAGTGATCATGATTATGATTTTATATAAATTGTGTCTTTTTTAAGTACTTTTGGTCAAAAAAAATGCGTACAAAGGTTTTATACTGTCCAGTAATCATTCGGTTTTTTAATATTGCAATCAATAACAAACCACCTCATACGCCTGTGTTTTTAAATAAGTTTGATGTCCAGTAACATTTTTGGAGTTTACTCCTTAAGAAACGATTTGAGTTATAAGGCCCGGTACGGAAATTTTATGAGGAGTAAAATCAAGTGTAACACGAAAAGTTGAGGCGTTATGTAGAAAGAGACATATGGATTGAACGTGTAAAAGAATGAGATGGAATACATTACACAGACTTTTCTATTTTGAATTTACGTTTTGACAGCCACGTTACAACATTGTCAGTGTTGACAGGTGTAAAAAATAAAAGTAGATTGTCTAGCGTGCCATAGAGTTTTGTCAATAGTAATGGTCAGTGAAATTAAAACTAAAAAGATTGTTCATTCTTATTCTTCTCTTACTATAAAGGTAACTTTGGTCACATAAAGAAAATCCTATTTGGGCATAGATGATGTAGGTACGTTTTATTACTACTACAAACATTTATATTATAAATCATATATTCTTACCACCTTTAGTATGAAAATATGGTCGACAGCCACAGAACATTATCGCCATTTTATCGTTCGTAAGGAGTAAACTCCAATCGTGCGTCGTAGCTGACACACACACACTTTTTTCTTCTTCTTCTTAGGATGAAACAATAATTAAATAGAATGAAAGATATCAACACGTCCTCGCTGTTGGCCATCTCGTGAACACTGGCGGTGAAAGCGGAGCACAGAGTTTTAACGAGCATGTAACGCCGATTTTAGAACACAGCGTAATATGCTCGATGCGTAACCCGCTCGATGCAAATGCAACATTACACCTCGTAACTTTAGTCAGTTCCCACCTTTAGGCATTCAAAAAAAATTTGTCGACACGAACTGTCATTTTCATACAAATTTAGTTTTCGACTTTCTACATACACTACTGTTAAGGCATCTTGACTAAGCCCCCTGACTGGGTAGTCCATTTATTAGCCGCGGTATCAAATACCTTAACGTTCTCTCGCCATTGAGGTTGTTTGCTCTCCAATGACATGAATTCCTCCAATCTACAAGTCTCCTATAACACAGTAAAAACATCCTACTCCCAGTTCTACTATATTTATTTCTAAAGTATTTGTTAATCGGTGCGTAGCCGTGCCAGGCTGTCATATGGCAAGTGGCCACTATAGAATAAACATTTGTTTTTAGCTAAAACCCGATTCGTTGTAACATTGTTGAATGTAAATAATTATTGGATAACAATACTTTTAGGTTTAAAACTATAGAAATGAAAATAAGGCTTTTTCGTTTTTAGTATATTTGATAAAAATATAGAAGTTCGATTGAGTGTAGTTTGGTACAAATAATTATTTCAAACAATAATGGAGAAGCTCGCCATTCAACATTACTGATAAACCGCTCTTCCCCATTTCTTCCCTTCGACAACGCACAAGCTTACACTTCATAATAGACCATTGCAAAAACAAAAAATTTCAAAATATAGACAATTTTTAAAATTTTCGCGACTTCACCCCCTCACAATCAATAAACTTCTTAAGGGATAAACAAACTGCCACCAATGAAAAAATTCCAAAATTGTATAGATATTTTGGGCTAGTACTTTGATTAGCTGAAATAAAAAACTACCAATTTTTTTTAAATCTAAATATCCCTACAAATCTCCACTTACACAGGTTACTTTAATTAATAAACAAATAGTCCGGATGAGAACCGTTGTGAGTTCGAAGTAGTGCTGCAGTTGTTTTATGTTATGTTGACAACTGACACTGTTACGTCTTTAGAGTTCGACAATAATTAATTTACGTTATGTTTAACGATACGGTGCAAATGAGGATTATATTAGTTTGAATACCCGCAACGCCAGCGGTTCTTTCTCCTATCAGACTTAGACGCTACTGATTACGTTTAATTTTTAAAATATTATTTTGGCTCGCCATCCTACTATGGAAAAAGGCGGGTAAATTTGTCGATGGTTTTAAGTATATTTTATTATAAGTGTAAGTAATAGTGTTTTAACGCGACAATATTCTATTTTTCAGTAACAAGTAGTAAGGTAGACAAGATAATGGATTTCCTAATTATAATTACTTCCTCTTAATATAGCAACATAAATTTTTTTCTGTGTATAGTAACATCAAGGTACATAACTGTTGGGTAGGTAGGTACGTACGACACGCATATGTAAGAATAATTCATTTTTTTTTACAGATCGTGAAGAGTTCATACAGCTTCTATGCTCTGTTGAGAAGCACAAATGAATAGCTTTTATCCCTAACACATCGAATCTATAAACTAAAACTATGACTTTCAACTAGTTTGGGAGTTCAGATTAAACAGTTTCGTGTTTATTTTTACTTTCTTAAGTTCCTTCTTTTCAGCGAATTAATACAAATATACTATGATAATATATAAAATATTCAGTACGAGATATAATATAAAAAAATATACTGATCCAGTTCTGCAGTCAAACCATTAAACCCGGCTTGCAAACCCCACATCGTTTAAGTTATAGAAGTTTTATTTATTAAAAACATTGCTCTTGATATTTTGTACCTGTTTAAATTAACTGTAACATTATATGTATATATAACACAATTTATATCTTTATACTACATTTCTCTGAGCGGCAGTAACTACTTTGATACAGCGCCATCTACAGATCCCCGAAGTGTATTTTTATAGAATTAAAGCATCAGTGTGAAATAATTCTGAACAAAATAAAGCTGTTGCTTTGCACCAAGCAGATTAAAATAATAGCGTGTTTTTTTTATAAATCCCATTTTGAACATGCACACACCATTTTACTAGTGCACGCGATTGATAGTTGACAGTTCACGGACGTCAGCCAAGTGCCAAGTTAATTATCAATAGTCAACCTGAAGTCTGAAGTTTCAAGTTTCAACTCTCAAAGCTATAAAATCCAAAATATACTATATAGTTAGTAATTCATGTTAAAGTGTTACATACCTACTTTGTAATTTTTTTTAAATCTCTAACCGCAAGCAAAAAGTGGTAAACCAAAACAGGTTTTTTACTTAATCCATTAGACTCCATACTGTTACAGAAACATATTATAAGTTTTCACGGTGATCATTGTGTAGAGAGAATGGCCAAATACTTTTTACTGTTATTGCAATTACTATGCCTTGCCTTGGCATTACCTGTCGAAAAGAACACGACACAAATACAAAACGCTAACATAACAAAAGAGTTATTTAGTTTAGCTAAGAGTTGCGAAAACTCATTCTTGGCCGAATTAATTAAAAGTCAGTTGGAATACTGCAAAACTACGCCAGGAGATAATCATGTAAATCTGGATTGTTTAATATTTTATGAAATAAACAGTCAATTATGTACAGCATTTGGTCGATCAGAAATAGATCTAAAATTAAATTACACCAACAAAATAAATCTTACTTACAATGTACTAACATTATGTGAAGATGCAAAAGAATGGAAATCTGTTACACCACAGTACAAAGCTATTTTGGACACATTATTCAAAACAAAAGTGGTTTGTGTTAGAGTGTGTAGTATTCATGATACATTTAGTGAAGATTCAAACTTTTTCTGTAAATATTTCAAATGGGGTACAGATTTGCTAACGCTACAAAAAAAGTCTATAGCAGAAGTTAGTACCAACGAACCCCCTAACCTAGAAGTTTTACCTGAAACTAAGTCCCAAGAAGCTATAACAACAAACAATGCTCCTATTTCACAAATTTTAAATAATGAGTCACAACAACATAAGGATTTGTCTGATAAATCTACTAAGCAGGAAATTCCTATACAAACTGATGTGATAAAGCAAGATACAACTAAAAAGAGTCAACCAGTATTTAATATATCAACAACAAAAGTGGAAGAAAAGGAGCCAAATGAGATAAATGATATATCACAGTCAAACTTAATATCCAACAAAAAACCCACAAACATAGAAGAAACATTGAAAGTTGATGTTGATAAGGAAATTAAAGATATTGAGAAAGAAAATGATTTTAAACCAGTGGCTGATAATCCAAAAGCTAATCTTGAACAGGATTTGGATGATACAAACAATGATTTTGGAAATGACCTTGGTAAGAGTTCATTACACAACATTTTTTTTTATGTCATAGAAGGCAAACGGGCAGGAGGCTCACCTGATGTTAAGTGATACCGCCACCATGCCGCCGCCATGGACACTCACAATTCCAGAAGGCTTGCAAGTGCGGCCTTTTAAGAATTGGTACGCTCTTTTAATTGATAATTGGAAGTCATAAAGTACCATCTTATTAATTATATTTCTCAGCAAATGTGTCAATTATAAATAGAAACATTGCTTTACATTTATTAAGAAGGAATCTTATTATTTAAAAACCAAACTTATCACCTCTCTAAAAAGTATTAATAATTCATTTGTACTAGCATACATCACATTGAACAAGTGAAGGTAACCCATGGTCATTAAGAAATATGATCAGTAAAACAGATTTAAAAATGCATTATTATTCTCCAAGTCCCACTTAGCGCTATTAGTGTGAAATCTGAACACTATGTTCAGAAAATTGGATACTTCAGCATCTAAGGAATACTCCTGTTAAGGAACTTTGTGACAATTTTTTTTTTGGTTTTTAGATTCAGATGACGATCCACTATCAGATGCAGACAATATTAATGAAGGAAATGAAGTGGAGCCAAAAATCGAAAAGCCCTTAAAGGAGAATTCTAGTATTAATAAATTACCACACACATCATTTATGGATATCCCCCAAAGAGGTAAATACATTTTATTCATCTAAGCTTGTGTAAAGTCAGTATTTATTTAAAATGATAGAATGACTAAAATTTAGGTGCAACTTTAGCTATAAAATGATTTCTCCTTATGACATATATGAACTAAATATAATAAGCAATTAAATTGTTGTTTATTGATCATAAATAAAATGAGCCATATTAATCTTATTTTTAACTTATGCTATAAATCAGTTTTTTGATAAAGATATGTTATAGTAAATAATACTAGTGACATTAAGAGATACAATTTTAACTTGTATAAAAATATTAATAATTGTTTAAAGGCCTTTGAGAAGACAACACATTTGAATAAAACTGATAAAATCAAATTTATCATATTATTTATCTATCAATTTAGTCTCTTGCTTTGCTTCAAATTTTTTTAACTATATATATTGTATCTAATAAATTGTTATCTTTCAATCAGATAAAACTGATAAAGTTAGTGATAAATTATAATGATAATTATCAATAATGTTAAATGTATAACATTAAAACTGGACTATTTAAACAGCTGGCTAAAAAACCTTGAAATAAATGCCTTTGTGCAATATTACTATAGTTAGTCCCAATAAAATGTTTATGTAAATGCTATTATATTATAACAATTGCTGCTTCCTTTGATTTTAAAGGCTTTGTTTTCTCAGGCGAATTGTGGATATTTAAGAATTGATGCTAAAGCAATCATTTGTTTTATGTCATAAAGCACAGAACTCTAGATTATAATTTGACTACTAACATTGGTGAAAATATTGATATTATTGTTCACAACAGTCTTCCAACTTACTGTAACCTTGTTTATCATGGTCTTAATGAGGTTAAGTTTTAATTATTAATATTTATTTTATTTTGTGGTTGCTTGTTTAATTTTTTCTTTTGCTAGCTTGTGTTCTAATATTTAATTGATGTCTATGTGTGTAAAATTTGTGATGTCATATTTCCTTGTATTATTTTATGAGTACACATTGTTTTAGATCTTATAAATAAATAAAATAATCCGTTTATTAATGATGAAGTATAAATGAGACTATTGCATTTTAATGAAGCACATCTTAGTAATAATATAGGAAAGCAAATTTGTCACTTCACCGGTGCAGATAAACTCAAACTCTAAATAACTTTATTCATATATGTATCCTAGTGCACTTATGAACGTCTACAGAAAAGATGTTAAATTAATTCCAAATTTACATTTACTACCAGTCCGCAAGTCAAGGGCGTAGAGCGGAAAGCGCGAAAGAGCTCTGTTTTTATTCTCTTGTTTATTATTATTTTTATTAATTACAGAAGTGTATCCGAATGCAATACAAGACACTATGTCGGAGGAGGATGACCACTTCTTTCCATTCTTCCTGACAAGCATTGTTTTTGTGGTTCTCCTCTATATTCTATACCATAACAAGAGCAGACTTACAAAACTGGTAAGAACTTTTATAACATATTTTTATTTTCATTAAACTTATTATTTTCTTATTAATTTGGAATCACTGGGTTGATTTAAGAATTTAAAGAATAATCAGGGTCGTTTACATTTTGATTAAAAAAATAAACACCTGTTATTAATATTTATGAATACAAATGTATATAATGTAATGCAAGTAATGTAAAAATGCATCTATTGTAGTATTATTAGCAGGCGAAAGTAATGTTATAAAATATTAACTTTTTATAGCATAAACTGATATATAAACTTTTTCACTATCTGTTTTTCATAAAACTAAAAGGGATTCTATTTTTTATTTTAACGCCCTCTAGTTCGTTTAAGTCTAACTACGTTATCGCTGAAGATTCTAAAACGAGACTTAACGGTAAAACTCCCGTTCCACAAAAATGTGACTTAAAACTATTGCCATAAAAAAATGTGACATGACATATGTTAGTCATAGTTCTAAGACCCGTTTCTGGATCTTACCCTCGTTGTTAATATTCTTGTAGAAAAATTTTGCCCAAATGCGTTATTTAATAACAAATCAAATAGATAATGTTGTAATAAAAATACTATATAAACATACTATAATATTTTCATGATGATATTTCAAGAGCCGAACAAGCTGTAAAAGTTGATTAATTATTATATTGATCGTCATGAAATAATTTTAAAATAATAAAATAAAATAATGGAAGCAATCTAAAACCAATCCCGAATTTAGGGCTTATTTTTTACTGCTTTTTTTATTTCTAATATATAATTGAAAGTAACCATTATGATCTTTAAAATTAATTGAAAATAAATTTTAAATATTAACTTATATTCCGCGTGCTGACTTGTACAGTTCATAACATGCATACATAATATTGTCTATTCTTTTTAGTGGTGCCATCTAACGAAAGAGGGTTTATTGTATATTTTGTTTTTTTTTTCAGATTTTGGGTCTCATTGTAGAAGGACGTCAAACGAATCGCAGAAGAAATAGCCGAGGTCATGCATACAGACGACTCGACACTCTTGAGCAAGCAATGAGTGCCAATAGTACAGCGCCACCTAGTAAAATTATATACTAAACATAAAATAGATATAAAAGTCTACAGAACATGAAATTCGAGTGCTTATAGGCAAAACATTTTTAAAAATGTTTTAAAAACACCTACGCTTCGTAGAAACTACGATTGGTATTTTGAATATTGATCCCTGGTTTTGCTCATAGGAAATTGTAACCTGTTATTGAACTTTACAATACGAACGATATTTATTTGTGTTTAAGTTTAGTTACAAATACCCTCTAAAAGTTTACAACTGAAATTTTCCATACAAAATGGATTTTATTTTATAAAGGGAATTTAGTGAGAAAAAAAAAAATAAAAAGTCAAAGTCATATTATGTCAAAAGATGACACAAATACTTCAATGTATGCAATAAATGTCATTAAAGGATGACATAAGTACCAAGTACTCGTATAAACTTGTTGTGTGAATATTAATTTTACATAATAGCATAAACCTTTAATAGCTCTTGAAGTTCTTGTACTTTCGTAATTTCTTTGAAATTAGGTATAAACAAAATTCATCATGTTTAATTTAATAACCTCAATTAATATTGTATGTGTGGGTCGGGGAAAACATAATAATGTTTTTTACAGATGTAATCAGTATGAATTATTTGAGTATGGCAACTTGTCGTTTTATATTTTTTAAACAACTATAGCTTTTTAAAATGGCCAGTATGGAATAATTAAAATTAAATAAAATAACTCGAATCATAATAATTTTGTACGATATTGTTAATTATGGCGCAAAACTTATCCTACGCTTCTAGTCTTATATTCATTTGCATTAACTTCTCTTTTCTGATTCAGCTAAAAAGTACAATCGTGAATTTTCTTTCGTTGTATAAAAATGTTCGTAATGAATACGTATTTAAGTATTAGTTTGAAGGCGTAGTTTGAACGGAAGTTGGGTCTATACTTCTTAGTGGCGCCATCTAACGAAAGAGGGTCTCAATTGTATGTTTGATGATGCACTTTGCTTATAAGGAAGTGAAAAGTACAATATTATAGATATTTAAAACAATTTCAATGTTTAATTAAGTATGCAAATCCCGTTTAATACGATTTTATAAGGGCGCGAAAAATCGTCTTAAGCTACAATAATGACATTTTACCTTCAACAGCTGACGTAATATTACGAAAAATTGTATTAAGTCTCTACAATTATTTTTAGCGCGAAGAAAACATGAAACTAGAACAAGCCTGTAGTGACATAAGAGGCGTATTTTAAAATGTCTAAATATAAATCATTTTTCTAATAACAACACAATCCAATACATTTTTGTGTAATTACTGTAATATTTGGCAGTTCTTCCTTTTTTTTTTAATTTAAATAGATCTTTGACGCATGTAAAGTATGTTTTTTTTTGACGGCGTGGATATCTTCAGGCCATACAGCGTATTAAGCGGGCTTTACTTTATTATGAAATTATTTATGGAACAAAATTCTATTATATTTAGATCTCCGTAGTTGTTAGATTTCCATTTTTGTAATATTTACACTAATTTATGGATTTTTTACTCTAATTCCTTTAGAGCTAAATAAGTTCAGTTTCTTACGGTTGTAGCTGCTATTCATATTCTGAAACGTACATACTTAGGGGTTTAAGCACGATTTTACTTACATTACAGGCTGTCAAGTATAACTTGGGGTTCTAGCTCGGGCTACACTCTGTGTTACTAGATTTCGTTCAAAGCTCCATTGAAAATAATATAAGTTTTTCAAATGGTTGTGTTTTTTTAATCTGAACACTGAAACCCTGAACGCCGCTTCAAAGACTACAAAACTTTGTAAATTGTCATCTGTCAAATTAGTTTTTACCTCGCGTCAAGTTATTCTTGCCAGATTTGTATATTTAGAAGCGAAATTTTAAGTAAGATATTTTTTACGTTTATTTCTATTATTAATAAATTTTAAAATAATTTGTGTTTTTATTATGGTTAATTTAAAATCACTTGGCCAAGTGATCGAACATACCTACAATCATTATAGTGTGCTAATTCAATTCAATCTTTTCTAAAAACTAAATTTAACGCTCATATTTAATTTGTTAAAGAATTTTCTGGGCCTTTTTCATTGTAATTTTTCCTAAAATTCTAGGTTTTTGTTGTGTAGGCAACACTATCCTATACTGTAACCATTTTACTTTAAGTCGACTTATTTTTTATTAAAGACACTGCCTGTGTGCCCATAGATGCGATAATAAATATCCTTTGAAGAGTCATAAATATCTATATTTACGACAAAAAACATTTTGATGTAAAATACAGAATTGCGATGCCGACTGTACTTATACCAATAATACGTCGATAAAAGTACATTATCATCGATACAGGATATGTCAATTGGTAGAAATTAGACTAAGTAGTCTGTTTTTCCGCTGTACAATGTCGTTCATTAACACAATTTATTTCCCCGTTTGAAAATTCAGAGGCAGTTTAAACGAGATATTATAGGTTATGCAAAAAGGTTGCAGCTTGCTACGCCATGGTTTTTACTAAGCCTAAATTGTTACCGTCTACACAACAGAAATTTTTCATATTTCATCGTGCATGCATCGATTATTAACCTTCAAATTCAAGATATTTATTTATTACTGGGCTGTGGTTAACCTCGTGCACTCGGATATCGCACGTTCGAACCCAGCATAATGGATTTAGTTTTTATTTTTACTCTTGCTGGTACAGTGACAGAAATTGTGAGGGAACCGGCATGTCTTAGGGTAATTTGAAAGCGAGACTTAGCGCTTAGTGTGACTACCGTATGTTTATGTATGTCAATTATGTTAAAAGTAATTGATATATACGAGAAACAACCCTTAAAATCGACGACATGTACCCGACACAAAAGTCTGCAGTTCTCTACCTATAATTCAAAGAAACGCGCTGAAATATACTATCTATCGTTACAGAACTTCAAACAAATTACTTAATATTGCCTTAGCTTTAAAAAAACCATAACATACTCAATAATAATTAAATAGCTTATAACTTTTGTTAATCTTAAACCAAGTCATCCACAATTTATAACCTTGATAATGAGCTATCACTATCGCGAAATATAACGCTTGGGGTCGGCCACTTTACGTCTTGACAATACACTTGTTAAGTTTGATACTGCACATTTGTAGGGAGCTATTCTGTTACAACTGCATTTCTTTTATAGACAAGTCAATTGGGTCATTTGAGCCATTATCCCGCCCCACACCAAATGCACCGCTATCTACTGTCATTACTTATCACTTTTATTTTAATGTATGAAAGCTATACGCTTTTATAGAGAGCGTCAGAAGGTTAAAAACCTCATAAAGGTGGACTGGAATGAATATTCAACAAATTGGCTTTCTTACAGTTAAACAAAAGATTAATTATAGGTTAAAGTTGTAGTGCTTAGACAGTCTGTGTTTGGTTCTTTTAATGTATGCGCAGCTTCCACGTGATTACGTTTCTGCGTGTGGAATTCCGACTACACAAGGGATATTCTGACAGTTGTTAGATTTCAAATTTTGTAATATTTACACTTATTTATGGATATTAATCCTAATTATTTTAGAGCTAATTAAATAATATTTCTTCTTGATCTTATTCTGAAACGTAACATTTCAGGTTTATGGACGATTTTTACTTCCTATATATATATAACAAAATTAAAACAATTACAAATGTCTCTAGAACATTCATGATATAAACATGAATGTTCTCGACTGAACGACTAGAATTCTAACAATACCACAGTAATTTTTTTTTCAATCAGATGTCGTGTTTAAATAGTGGGATGTGACGGAAGAGTCAATATTGACTTACATCAATCAATAAAAGAAACTGGTGGATATTATATTTTTAACTTTTTGTCGGGTTAACAAAATCTATACTCAAGCATTGTGACACCCGGCCGTTAAACTCTTACAAATGTCTCCAAAGTAGGTTGTCACCGTGAAGTACTTACGTAGGTACGCAACAAAGTCTTTGTACTCGTATATTATGACATAATTATTAAAACTCGCATTAAGTATATTTATGTAAAGTAGGAGTTAGAACCATATAAAATTCGCAACCATTTAAAGAAGCTGGAACTGAATAATTTATAGATTCTACCGTCATGACGTTATCAAGTTATTTTTTAATGACGAACAATTAATAAAAAAATCTTAGTTTGCCATTTAACATAAATATTTGTTAATAAATTTATACTTAGGAATTATTAATGTAATAAATTAATAAAAATATCAACTACGTTTTATTTTATTTCAACTAGGTATTAAGATCGTGAGTTTTAATTATATTTAAATATATCACCTTCTTAGATTTTAAGTTACGCATGTTTTCCAACGTTTCTCACATCAGCAACAACTATGCATGAAACTCCGTCTTCTAACGCGCAGCCCGGACAGACAACGACCACTATCGAAGCCATGACGTGTTTAAGCTATCGCGGAATATGCCTAAAAGGAGTATTAGGTATTACTTAGTTAAGGCCCTATCCCAGCACGAATTGCTGTGTCCGTGTATCGGGGTGGACTGCGGGGCGCAGTGGAGAGCTGGAGCACTGAGGGGCGCCGGCCCGTAATAACAATTAGTTATGTAAAACATTAAATTAATGTAATTTTATCAATTTTTTTTCTGAAATGGATTACTTGGCTTGCGATAAAATATATCCATTTTCGTCATAAAATGAATTCAAAGTGTCATAAATTGGCTATGTTTGGATTTTTTTTCAAAATGGATACATAAACTACTCAAAAAATCATATATTTTTTTCATTCGCCCTACTTCAAGAAACGATGACCAAAAATGAAATGAAACAATGTACTTTTTTGGAGTTTGGCGACCGGGTTGGTCCTTGTGTTTAATAATTCTTACAGATTTTTTTCTTTTGTAAATGTTTGAAAATTTTGGTTTATATTATGTATTTCATCTTTGGATAGGTATATCTTTAGTATAATTATTTTTTTGTTATAAATAATTGATGTTAGCTGTAAGATTACGAAATAAATTAAACTTTCAACAATGATATAAAGCGATACTTTTGCATGAACATAAAAATGTTCGATCAAACAAAAAGGTATAAATATATAAGTGTGTTCGACGTAGAAAGTAATTCTTAAAAGCTAACTGTTACTTAATATAAATAATACGTATGATTCTTTTATATTTACACCATATAGTTTCAAGTAGGTACTTAATCTAGTTACTTCTGGCTTAATTGTATTTTTAAATGATAGGAGTCGTGCAAAATGAATGATAAGCATGTTCGACATATTATCGTGTGCATGAGGATAGGTCATTCACTGAGTCAATGGTGGATGCCAATAAATTGTGGAGTCCGATGTCACTACTTCAGTCTTGCTGTAACTTGGCTCGGATCAAACGTCGTTCAACATGGCTTTTAAAGTGTTCATGTTCGCCTTATTGGCTGTCGGTAAGTTTTGATTTTAAAAAAAACTTGTATTTACTAAAATTCGAAGGAAATTTATTTAAAATGTGTTTATTTTTTATATTCGTTAATATTTCTAAATAGTGCGTAATCCTGATTTCTAGAATTAAGATAAAAACACAATTTAAAATCTTTAACGGATTTACGTGAATTTATCGTTACATAATTATCATTTATGAAGACCTTTTTTAAATGTGTAGAGCTCGTAAACCAAAGACAATTAAACACCATAAACTAAACAAGACAAAAAAAAACGTTTTTTAAAACAAGTGTCAAAGTATATCGTTATGAATTAGTAGGTGCATTGACGACACTTCGTTCTGTGCATGTTAGACCCCTGCTTCCTGTGCAGGCCATTTACCAATTTACTCCGGCACTCACTCACTATTATTAGGCTAATTTTTACATTGTATCACTCATGTTCTTGGCACCAACTTAGGGTGAGATTCAGAAATGATACTTTAACTATGACTCGTGTATGTTAATATCCACTTTTGACGAACAAAAGTCAGACTTTGTCTCGTTTCTGAATCAACTATTAGTAGTAGATCATAGGTTCCCCACAACCGTATTTATTTCGTGTTGGTCGTATAGGCTTTAATTGCCTTGAAAAAATTACAGCTTGACTGCCACATTGTTCGTTTCGGGGAATTATTAGTAATCAAGAACTCAGTTTATTTGTACCAAACGGCTTTTTAACGGTGGAAACGATTTGCGGTTGTTGTATCTAGGGGAAGAAAGAAGATATAGCACCACCTTAACAAATACGTTGTGCTAAATATACCGTCCTTTCGGAGACGACGAGACATTTTTATATGTTTGCAGAGGGAATTCACAAGATCGATATTTCGATATTTTGCCACAAGTGAACTTAGCTATAATATTAACGTCCCGATTGTAGGTATTCTTTTGATCCTACCGAACTAGCACGCCGATGCGAAGCGCTGCCGTTTTTTACCGATGTCTAGTATGAATGAATTTGCAAGGGTGTTACATTTATTTACTCATTTTACCTCAATTTGTTTGTATGGAAAAATGGGTTTCTTAATTATTAACGTTTTCCTTGTACGTTAATATGTATATTGGCACTGATATCCTTTAAATAAAAAAATAAGTGTGATTACGTTTAAAACACGTTGTATATATATGTATCGTTAAATTTTACGTAATTAGCACTTGCCCAACTACATTTCCATTTTTTTAATACAACTATCGGATTGGTAAGAACTGTTAAGATACTTGTATACATGACGTGTGTCCGAATATTTCATCATGGGCTTGGACTGGAGACACAAATTTACGATACTTTATGTTCAAGTGGATAAGCAGGAATAGTTTTGAATACAAAAGATTTTATGAAATTACTGTCATAATTCGTATATTATTATTACATAGTAGTTTTAACATATATTATTTTTAATACTCACCATTAGAATCTAATAAAGATCGGATGAGGAAAACAGAAATTAAATTACATACTGGTTTGTGCTTTTAAGGCGCTGAGAATCCCATAGCAAAATAACAATATATTATGTAAATCTGCATAGTTTAAGCAGTTTTACCTACTTTTAGGGTAAAATCTACAGACACGGCATAACGCTATGAATGTCTTCCGTTTGTCGCGTTTGACTACTGATTAATATTTATTTATTTACACTTTACCTTATACAAAAACATACATATAAAAAAATCTAAAAAGCAGGTTACATAAGATATAAGGCAACGGGCGGCCTTATCGCTAACAAGCGATTTCTTCCAGGCAACCCTAATATGGAACAATAAAAAATAAACACCTAAAGAGGGTAAAGTACAAGAAGTGCATAAATAATTAACAAAAAACATGTAACTATAACTAAAATAAAATAAAGTAAAATGCAAAGAAACAAAAAATATGTATAAACAAAAATTTAAAAGCTAATTCAAAGGTTAACTGAGTCACAATATATATAAGTAGCAGCTAAATATTATTGTGTCATTTAAATCGATAATAGAACACAACAATAAAATGTCTTCCCAATTATAGAGACTGTAATTAGTGTTATTGGATATTAAATATCCTTTTTAATAAATTAGGTTAGATTTAAATTGTCTTTTATTGACATAAAAAGTTATGTCATAGAAAAAAACTTTTTTAACGGATTTGAAGTTATTTTTTTTGTTAGTTTTATTATAAATTTACAATTATTTTACATAATTTTAAATTTAACCGACGTTTCGCGTGCTTTACAGCGTGCGTGGTCACGGTGACGATTTAAATTAGATTTAAATTACTTATTAGTCTTAAGTTAGGCTAGATCGTAATGTTCCATGATGAAGAGACAATGTATTAAAAATATTATGTAAAAAGCGGCTTTCATCAGTGTGAGTACAAAGAGACGCTTTAAAATAAAACTAAAATAAAAATAAACGCGACACACATTTTATTTTTATTTCGAAATTTCGTGTACTTTAATGGTAGTCGCTGACGCAAGATTCGTTTAATATAAATGCGATGTGCCTGCTTAATTCTACAAAGTCGAAATCAAATGAACATGTAAACTTGTTTACTTATAACACAATAACATTTTACTTCGTTAATTAGTGAAATGTAAATATCATAGTTGCCGTTACAGTAATGATTATTTTGTTTGATAAAGATAATGGGTTAAAGGGTCGTATTGATACACGCGCATGGAATTAAGATAATGCTTTTGTTTCGTAATGATTAATAATTTATATAAATAAATATCATATGAAAGATGGTGCTATTATGTGGAGCGATTCAGTGGCTGCCGAAACCAGGGAATCAGCACCTACGCCGATGTCAATCAACCACTTCTTAACCAACTTCCCAGTCATATCTTGACCGACAGGTCACTCTGATGCTCTTCTTCTCAGTCGTATTATTCATTTCTGAAGGCCGTGTCGCTGTAAGGTGCCTGGTGCTAGTGATATCTCTCCACTCTGTAGCTTCCCTTAGCGCTAAGCTGCGCAGCTGATGTGGGGAGAACCGTGAAAATCGTGGTCACACTGGCGGGTGGGCGAGCTTCTCCGCCCTTGACTTCCACCTTACCGACGACAACCAGCTTGTCCGAGTTATCTGGTGATCGTGGAATGTATCACCTCATATCGTATTCTAATAAATATTAAATAGATGGGTATGGCCAGATAAATCGAAAAGATCTCTGTAAAACCTACATTACAAAGAACCCGGAACATATGAAAACCCAGTTCAAATATAGTTATTTTAACGTAAACTTAAGAATAATTAAATCTTCATCGCCATTAATATAAATGTTAATGATTTTAGGTGTGTTCGCCGAATACCAGATCACTGAGGAACAGCGCAACCAAGTCAAACAAGTAATTGCCGATACGTGTAAAAGGAATGGCGCTGAGGGAAAAGTCGACGAAATCACAGTATGTATTTTTGTTACAAATCGTCATAGTCGTAGAATAGTGACGGATCTGACAAATAGTAAACGTTACAGGGCAGCCATTTCAAAATAATATAATCATGTTGGTTTTTGTCATAAGTATTTTAATTCATTTTTTGTTAGTATGAAAATTGGCATACAAGCAAACAAAAAGGTTTGTTTTGAGACAAAATAAAAATAATAACATTAAATTGCACAGTTTTCTAGAAAAATCACATGTTTCTATCAAATCCGTCACTTTACCGACTGATTTATATAAAATTTAAAACACATGGATTTTTTTAATGTAGCCGTAATACTTAGTTAATGTTCCATACATTGACTATTGTTACATTATTATATTATTGATATTTATTACATTGTTTTTTTTTTTTAATATTATGGCAATAGTACGAAATATGTTTCTAATCTGGGAACTGCTCTAAGCAGACTTTTACTTTAAGCTAATGACATGATTTTGTTTTGTGCAAGCAGTGTTGGCCTAAAAAGCCATAGGTTCGATCCCCGGTACCAATGGACTTTCTATATGCGTATCTAACAGTCGCTCGTATCGTGAAGAAAAACATTGTGAGGAAACCAGCATGTGTCAAACCAAAAATCGACGACGTCTGACAGACAGAAGGCTGAGCAGCTACTTGTCTCTGAAATTAAAAAAAACGTGTGTGTACTTACTATGTACACGCAGTAGAAGTTATACTTCAGCACTTTAGAGGGACGTTTCCATCATCGAATTGCATTTTTCTTGTCCATTTTAATGACATTTCCAATCGAAACGATATAATATATACTAATAATGATATTTTATCACATTGGAACGGGTATTCTCGTATAGAAATCATTATTTTGGTTTTAATAAACACAACTCTGAAAAGCACTACTTCATGACAGACAATGCAACTTGTCGATGAAACAGAACAAGCGCCAACTAGCGGCCCAGACTGTTTTACCGACGTTTGAACAGATATTCAGGGTATCAGTTTTTTGTGACGGTGTGCGCGCGCATCGTAAAAATTTACTCTCATCATTTTCCCTAACGCGCCAAAACAAGTATAACTTCAAAATTATGGAAATACATTCGGAGTATACACTTCTGTAAGGTTGAGATAGTTATAAAAACAATTCTTGATAAAAGTAACAAAGTAAGCACACATATCAGCGAGTCAAACGCTCGCTGTTGACCTTAAATGATAAATTAAGGTATAACAAAGTTCCTTGATTTTCAGACAACCGTGCACACTTTTATTGACTGTGTCAAGGGTTTATTCAACTTGGAAACCATTAAGAAGGAAATAGAAGAAGCCAAACCCAACGGTGCTCTTGATGAGGTCTTTAAGAAGTAAGTACCTTTAGAACGGAGAGTGTGATCTTATACGAAGAATGTAGTTTTTCCTATTTATTATCTGTTTCGAAATTGTCTATAAAACCATACAATTTTCTATAAAAATACTAGCTGACCCTGCTAACGTTTGTTTTCCTATGTATATTATTTGTAGGAAACATTTTTTTAGTTTAATAAAAATAACCATTTACAATAATAAAATAAGGGTTGATGGAAGGTAGATGAAAATTAAGGGTTGTATGTATTTTTGTATGCTGTATCATAAAAAATAAAAACAATTTTTTTGGGGGGACACCCTTTATCACTTAGTAGTTTGAAAGATAGGCTTACTGAATATGCATAAGAAATTTCATAAGAATCGGTCGAGCCGTTTCGGAGGAGTATGGGAACGAACTTTGTGACACGAGAATTTTATATATTAGATATTAATAAACGAATGAAAATATTGTATATTTTCATTATAACAGTAGTTTAAATAGCATTTAATGGCCCTGTAATCCTGTACATCAGAGTCCTATGCCTACCGAGAACGTAATAATTATTGAATCGCCGAGAGCCGAACCTCTACGCTATGTGCGTTAACCTCTGAGCTAAGGAGGTATTAAAGTATCATTTATGTTTCTGGCTATTCCGTTTCAAACAATTTTTACAAATAACATTGTTTTCGGTCGGAGGAACTATGGCATGAATATTCATTTATTTAGATAGGTAAGGATACGAGCCGAGTATACTTTAAAGATGTATAATGAATATCTAATATTGTATGCGTGTTATTCCCACGAGAATGTAAGTGCGTGCTCCTATTTCACCACGCCTACTGCAGTAGAGGACAAATCTTTGCTTTTTATTAATTACTTAAAGATGTCATGTGGAACTAGGTGTAATGGTTGCAGCTCCTTACTAACATTATGTAAAACAAAAACCTTAGCGATTAAAAAGAGTGGCGGAGAATTAATTGCCAGTTCTTCTCGTCAGTAATCTCGGCAGTAAATGTAAAATTAGAAGCATTTAATATGTATTTAATTATTGACGTTCATAAGTGTACCTACATTGTGTTACCAAAATGAATAAATGACTTTGAATTATGTAGCAAATTATAATTAATATTAATTTCATCAGATACTGCGCAAAGTCTCCACAGCTGAAAACCTGCATCAGCACACTGATTGACGGCGTGTCTCCATGTCTGGATAGCAGTATCCGCGAAAACATCGGCACTGGAAAGAACGCTACATCACAACTTATTGACTTTGTCTGCCATAAGGATGGTGATAGGATCGCGTGTAAGTATCGCGCTTTACAACTTACTTATTTAATTCAGTATTATTAGACTCAGGTCACTAGACATTATTTCTATTAAAATTAAAAATTAAAAAACACAGTATAATTCTCTGTTAACGTTCCATTGTAACTTCTAAACAGTAAAACTGCTTTGAGTGGATTTCTGGTATTTCTGTTTGCATTGTCATAACCAAGAACGTCACCAGAAGGGCCAGCTAGTGCAGTGGAAGAGTATCGAAAAAACTCTTTTTTTTTTAAATTAATTTGGTAAAATTAATTCGTATTGCTTCTATATTAGTTACTATGATTACATGTTTTATTTAATGTACAGTAAAGACCAGTTTGATGTCACAACCCAATATTAAAGTCGACTGTATAATACTTACATACAATATTAGATTTTTATAACAATTAAACAAAAACCGGAAGCAGAAAATGAAGAAATTCTAGGGTATTGGGCATATCGACAAAAATGGGATTTGAATAGAAATCGTAACGTTCAATTATTATATTATATACGTACATAACAATAGCAGCCACGCCACTTTTGTTTGACGTTCCTGCGTCGGTACTCTATAACTCCCAATAGATATAATATGTTATAAATAGACTACTCATAGAATAATTACTGTTACGCCAGCGAATCTAGGACCTCTAGGACGGAAGCGGTAAAAAATTATACACACTGATTTCAAAATGAAAACAAAACACAACTATATCCGTTCTTATAATTCCAGTGTTCATCGCTGAAGAGGGTCCCCAATGTTTCCAAGAGAAGACTAGTGCGATCCGCGAGTGTGCTGAAAAGGCGAAGGAAGGCATCACCGGCGTCGAAGCCGTCAAGAAACTGACTATTGATGTATGAAAACCTCTTTACTTGTATTCGTTGAGCGCTGGGGTATTCTAAATACAACAACTTGAATAGTAGTTTCTATGCGAAGGCAACTTTGTCATAGGAGTCTTGAGTCTTACGGGATGTCTTCTCTGTACGAGCATATATAGACGTACAAAAAACACGCTCAAGTTTCTAACGTAACTAAGTTTCATGGGTCGAGAATCGTATTTCTTGCTAACAACGCCATCTATCGCTCATTCCAGGAACAATGCGCTAAGTTTGACAGCTTAACATCGTGCATCGTGAAGGCTCTTGAGGAGTGCACTTCTCCCACACCTGGCAACATGGCCGAGTCCTTATTCAGATATATGAAGAACGGCTCTCCTTGCAAGGTGAGAAATGCGTCCAATTAACAACACAGAACGATTTTTATGTATGAATACTACCAACGAGCATTCCAAAACAGAATTTAAACAATTTTTTTTTATTAATTAAATATTTATTGTTTCAGAAAAACTAATAGGAGATATAACATCATACTAATACTAAAAAAAACAATAAAATTTCATTTTAAGAAACTTGCAGTTTTATTTAGCTGTGTATAAATATTCTGGTGAAATAGGTACTTTCGGGTAAATTTTAGAAAAACCATTGTAGACGGAATGTTAAGTTTAAAGAAAAATGATAACGGTTGTATTTTTCGCACATTTCTTTCATTTCAGGTTCAGTTTCGTGGTCTGAAGGGAACGTTTTGTTTTGGAAGGGAAGGCTAGATTAGGGAAATCCATTTCAGATTAAATAAAACACGTAATCAAATTTTAAACTTTAATTCAGCTACACCAAATGTTCACAAAAGCTTTACACCAATTCCTAAGTAAAGTTATATAAAAATTAAAAAAATATTGAAATACCTGGAACGTAACAACTGAATAATTTACAATAACAGAAGTCGCTTTGATTAACTTACTCCACAAAGACCTTAATCAGAACAAACAAAACTCGTATAATGGAGCTGCCAAAAATGAAAATACTACTACAAAGTATACATTACATATAAAAATATAGCAACACGATTTTAATACAAAAATATATTTTAATAAGCTGCCGAAAAATAGCGACCATAAAATGCCTTAAACTATATTCTAAAGCGAACTATAACGGTCGGATCGTAGCTTCTACGATATTATTAAACAATTAGATTTAATCACATTAACGATGAATGGAAGGATTTTTTGGCAATTAGATATGGTCTAAGATATGTAACACTAAGGTGTATGTTAAGGCTATGTTCACATGTAACGCGCGTTAACGCGCGTCAACGCGCGATCAAATTTGAAGAGCGTTCAGATGATGAGCGCTAACGCGCGTTGCGAGAGTACTCGTCAGTCTAGTTCGGTAGAACGTAGAAAATGGACGTGGAAGAGGCTATTATTTTGTGGTTATATTATAAAGAAAAATATAGAAAAAGAAAACGTACACATTGGGTTTATCCAATTTTGAAAAAAAATACAATTTATATTATATTTTTTATACAAATTTGCTATATTCCAACTTGCTGACCTTTTTTCTACTTCATCGATTAGTAAGTCGATGTCAATATCTTCAATTTCACTCATTTTAAAAGCGAGAACAAAATATAATTACGAAAATTAATAAAATTACATGCGATCGCGATGAAAGCGCGCGCTCATCTGAACAGCAAACGGACATTACATTAATATCAAAGCGCGCGTCAACGCGCGATCACCTGCGTCTAGAGACTTTTTCTCTGAGCGCCGCGTTGACGCGCGTTAACGCGCGTTAACGCGCGTACATGTGAACAGTTGTATGAAAAATACCATAATCTCTAGTCGCGCGATTTGAAAACGCGCGTCAAGTTTTTGCCATCTGAACATAGCCTAAATGTATAAAGGGAGCGTTCAAGTATTACGTAACGCAATTTTAGGAGATTATTGACCTCCCCCCCCATGTAACTCGCCGTAACGTTTTTCAGTACCCAAGTACAGTACTGTACCAAAGTACTATTATGTGGTGTAAGTCGAAAAAAATATTAACAATAACGCGTAATGTAATCCCCGCCCCGCATCGTAACGTTTTACAAAAGGACTCCCCCCCCAAATTCGTTACGTAATACTTGAACGCTCCCAAAAGAAGACATTTTTGGATGAGTAGGTGAATACCGTTTGACCAATCAAAATAATTAATCTTATTAACTCAATAGTAATGTCCAATTCTGACATAACACTCAAGACCTGCTTGTAATAAGAAACATTGACCGCCTCTCATTACTCATGTTGCCATGGTTACTAATTTATATGGAATAACTTTGTAACCATGACAACAGAGTTTTGCGTTTTGAAACGGTCGTCGATGTTTAGTAATCTATTCAGTTATTTGATATCTTTAGTTCAAACTTAGAAGCATTTAGTGAAACTGCGTATACCCTTTAATCACTGATAATATGATAGCGACAGTTGTAGAAACGAACGTAGATAATTCAGTGTTAGGAACACTACAGAACATAAGCCGCCATCTTGAATTTAATTTAAAAAATGAAACAGCGTAGCTTTATTGTGATTGGTCAACCAGTATGTCCAATGAAAATCAAACGACGCATAGTATTAGCGTTATAAAAAAACTGAAGCGCACTTAAATTACTTTGAAAGTACGTATAGGTTTAAATTGTACAGCAATTATGAAATTTAATAACAATCACAAAAAAGTCGATAAAAATATTTCTCAGGTTGGCACGTAATTGGCCGTTTCGCATCTATTACTAAATTACAAAAATACTGCTCTCTAGGTAAGACTCAGAGTCGAGAGTTAGCGCTAAGTATGACTTTGTCAAAAACATGAATTTTGACATACGAAAGTTTGGGTTAACTCTCGACTTTGATTTTGACCCTTTAAGCCTAAGTCTACAGTAAGCTTAATCTACTTCTAGAAGGTAACATTGGAATGTATATGGCCTTTTCATTACTAACGCCGTATTCGAAAAAAAAACTTGAATTAAAAAGAGAACTTCTAAGTATTTGTTTAAAGATTTTTTCTAAATTTGGTATTTTTAACAGCGTTCAAGTATCTATCTATCTATCGAAGCTACTTTCAAGAACATTCTATGAATTAAAGATCAAGATAGTTTAGAATACGGGCCAAGTGTCTATAAATTTTTATAAGTCAAATGTAATCTTGTCTGATATTAATAACTTTATTATATTTTTTACTTTGCCTATTTTTTAAATGATTCAATGTTAAGATAAATCTTCTATTGTCACCTTTTGTGCGTTACTTAAAACTAAAAATCACTGACATGGGCACTTTGAGCGCGACTACAAAAAATACCTGATGTAGACGGTTTACGTATACCATATAAATCATAGCTCTTATAACAGAAATCAAATATGCACTAAAACATTTTGTTTTTAATATATCTGTTCGACTGTTTCTTATCTATTAAAACAATAAAAATATTTTTTTTTAATTAAAAACTTTACACTCGTTCTCAGTCTCGCGACGTATAAGCGAGTGTGTACAGCTGCCATTACGACGTTGCTTTATCTAAAGCGCATTTAAAACAATAATAACGAAGCAAATTTGAATAAAGAATTCGACATAGTTTGTGCGACAGAGATAGTTCAGCATCTCTTTCTAAAGACCGATTCATCGTGTGTAATATATAATACTAAAGCTTTAAGGGCAATTTAAGCAGAATTGACGTTTTAGAACATAGCTTTAAGAACTAAAGCACTTAATACGAAACTGCTGACTGCGAAGCGATGAGCGGAGTTCCCTTTCTTCTCTTCCTTCTGAAATATTAATATATTATTAGAACATATAAAAAACAGTACAACCTTTTAAAGTCTGACCCTCAGACGTGTGTATATTTTTTGTCTAATAGGTAACTAGGTGATAAGGCTTTTAAGTCTGACATACGCCGTCGACTTTTTGGGTCTAAGGAATGTTTCCTCACGATGTATTCCTTCAAAGTTAAAGTTCCTTTCACACGGGGTCGACTTTAGGTATCAGAGTCGCACGCTGAGGCCATTAGGCACTGCTCACAATTAGAATTCTTCTTGTATATGACAAGAGCCATATTTAATTACACTAACCTTGATCATTTATTTTACGCACGACGTTGCGTTTGATTGTGATTGGTCAATCGGACGAAATTACGACGTATCATGTTGCGTATCAACGCCATATTACTATTGACCAATCCCAATCAAACGAATCGTATAGTTTCACATTATCACACCCGAGTAGACGCACCAAATTCCAATAAATCTAATAGCAATTGGGAGTTAATTGTCATATCTATCTACGTCTATCAAACAGATAGAATCGCGTGAACGTATTTCAAGAGAAACAATCTGAATTTTAAGAGAAACAATCTGAAGTTTGACGCAACTGCGTTAGTTGGGTATAAGATACAGAATGAAACCATTTTTAATATGGGCGAGCGACCAGAAAGAAGAGCTTATCGCTGACAATGCACACCCGAACTTGAAGCTTACTAGTATGTTGCCAGATTATATGACTCCCGTATGCAATGAATGACATTCGGGCGTCATACTAAATGCAAGTCTCGACTCAGAACCATTTTACATATTACCCTGCATTCATAACGCAGTTGGTCACTTGGGGCACAATTTAGAGACAAGTTTAAGTGGGAAATATCATTCCCATCAGTCAAATTGTCAAAGAATTTTGACATATCGTCACTGTAGAATGATGTATGTCAAAAAAACATTTATTTTTTAGTCTTAGACTCTTATGTCATTTAACTGGTATAATTATGAAGTAAGGGCTTATTTATGTTATCAATAAATAAGTATTTTTTACCATCCAAAACTATGGACAAAAACACATTATAATATTTTAACGAACATTGACGAAATGAAACATTTTTTTTCGGTTTCAGTAATGTTTGGTTCTATGGACATACGAGGTTATCATTCTATAGCGAAGATATGAGACTTAATCTTGTTTTAAACCTATGACCAACTGCATTAGTACTACACATGCCCGAAAAGAAACTGATTGCTTTATTCTAAGTACAAAATACAGGCCTAAAACACACACAACAATGGAATGATTAAAACAAATTGAATGAAAAATAGCCCGAAATTATGATTGGCATATACATACATCCCGACCCGTTAAAACTTTATCCGACAATACAGTCGCGACTCTGGCATTAAGTGTCTATGGGCGGTATATCAGGTGTGCTTCCTGCTCGTTTGACCTATAAAAAGACCTTCTCCGCAGTTTACAACTAGACTTTCGTGCCATTAAGCTTCTGTAATAACCAAAAACGCCCAACAACACACTCAAATCCCTGCAAACGTTTAAAAATCGAAAAACCATAACTTACTGATCCGTGTCTCTTTTTAGCCGCATCCCTGTGCTATTCAAAAACAGTAATAGTTTAATAAAAGTTAATATTATTAAACAATTTCAATCATGCTGAAATTGTAAATAGGTTTAAAATTAGTTGTTTTTAATAGATTTTAATTTATAGGGTATATATAACATAGTTAAAAAAAATAAACATATAAAAGTTCACGCTAAGTCCTTCCTAAATATCACAGTTTAAATTTGAAATAAAAAAATTGTGACCTATTTCGTATCGATGTAATACTTACAATGAAGTCCTTGCATGGGGTAGCTTTGAGAGCAAACTTGAAGAGGGAGTCAATGATGTTAGCTGAAGTTGGTGATGGGCAACCTCCAAGAGCCTTAACGACACACTTTTGGAGCTCCGTTAACTGTTGGCATTCCTTTTGCTGAAAGTTATTAAAATATAAGCAACAAAACAAAACACATGTCTAGTCCCAGTTAGCTAGAAAGGGTTTTCTTTTAGAACAGTATTTCTCTACGTGTTCTCCTTCGGGGGGCAATTTGATTGTTAAGAGACGCTATACGAAATTTTATTCAAATTATTTGAAATTTTATTTAAATTATTTGAAATTTTATTCAAATTATTTGAAATTTTATTCAAATTATTTGAAATTTTATTCAAATTATTTGAAATTTTATTCAAATTATTTGAAATTTTATTCAAATTATTTGAAATTTGAATTTCAGTTTTTCATTACATATTTTAAAAATTTAGTTTCTCTATTTTGTTAATATTTTCCTAGTAGTTTCTTCCTATACCCTACCATTTAAGATCCTTAAGAGAACAATTCAATTGTTTAATATTAAAACTTATGTATGTTACATAGTTTTGGTGGGACATAAGTCTCAGAAGAACTAAGGTGGAGCATGGCACGAAAAAAGTTGGAAAACACTTCTTTAGAGTGTGTCTCTGTTTGCTTTTGGAAAAATTTCAGCAAATGGCGCATAGGATAATATACTGCATTGTTTTAAACATATATTTTGTTTGTCTTTTGCGACAGGACTTGTGGTAAGCCAGACAAGTCAAGCCATGACCAATATCGTATGAGATCTCTCTATAATCACAAAACCTATAGGCTACCGAATAATGAGAAAGTGTATATATTTTTCCGTTTACAATGTTGTATTTAGGCTAAAACAATCGTGATTAATCCAATAATTTATCTGATTAGGCTAATGTAAACCAAATCATTCATTAAGATAACATAAAAATGCTATTATCTTTTATCAGTATTAACAAATATTAACGCAATTTATGGTAATGTAATGATTTTTATTTACTAAGTTTGAGTATAAAATATTTGAAAATGGAATGGATCAACGTTTACCCCTTATCAAGAGATGACATGGGAAAATTTTACTTCACCGGGAGTCGAACCATCATGTGTAAACCATTAAATGTGATTTAAGCATGATAATTATCTATTTTTTACTCTAAATATCTAGGATCTAGCAGGCTTACCCTATAACTTCAAAAGCAATATAAATTATAAATTTTCGTATCACATAATTCTAAGCGACACAGTCAAATTTCATTATATTAATTATTCAAATCAATGACAGAGTAGCCTTGCTGGATTAAATAATTACCCCAAAAGTAATAGCAGGTATGCTGTTAGCTGTGAAGTTTCCTTCTCCGATGTTCACTGAGCCGATGGTACTGTTAAAGCAGGCTTGCAATTCTTCCTGCTTCTCTTGGATGCACTCGGGTCCATTTTCAGCGATGAATACTGAAAATATTTATTAATACAAAGCTATGTCGCTATATACATAACATTGTATGGAGAACGATATGAACTAGTCTAGCAATTTTTAGTTGGAAAACAAAATAAATATTCTACCGCAACAAGTCACTAATAATGTCAAGGGAGTCTTAATGAACGTTTATTATATGAAAACCAACCAGATGAAAACGATTTATATAGTGCCAAATATAAAATGTGTCAGGTGCCAAAACCAAAAACTTTAGAAACGTTTGCCAATCTTAAATAATTTTATTAAACTTTAATATTAATGCTAGGCGTCAAATTTACCCATCTGAAACTTATTACATATTTTAAAAGGGGGTTATAATTATAAATAATTTACGAACTGTGATGTTTTCAATTGTCCGTTGAGTGAACTGACATAAGGTTTGCTTAATCTGTAAGAGTGGGTTTTGTTGTTTAATATGTAATGTTTTACACAAAAACTATTGGACCGATTTAGTAAATAGAAGAAAGTTTTTCATTTTTTAATAATCAAGGTAAAAATTTCCAGACTGATAAAAAAATTATTACTTGAAATCAAGAATTTAAATTGAGTTTTTTAAATTTACTAATGCCGGACATTCTACGTAAATAATGTTACGTATTTAAAATACTTATTACTATATATATAGTATATACGTTGTAAAGTAAAATCTGTATATAGATTAAATTATGAAAGTATGTGGGTATCGAATAGTCTGAAAGGAAGTAATAAAAAAACTAAGAAAAATAAGTAAAATAAAACTTTTAGGATAACAAAAATATATCTATATTCCGACTTAGTAGACTTTCCACTACCATGAGATGGTATCTATCCGACTAAAACCTAGTAAATATATATAATTCCAAAAAACTTAATATTAAACATGTTATAATACAAACCTATTGCGTTATTACAAAATCTACAAATATTAAATCAAATAATTTCGAAAAATCTGTCGGTTCGGCGTATAAATAAATTAGTATTATTTTAATTTATTATTTAAGCCGGCGAGACCCACCAAATCTACCACCAAAACCCTGCAGGCTATATACACAATAATTTCAAATACCTTTATAACTACTTACTAAAAACTAAGTATAAAAATTTTATTTTTAAGAAAATCCAGTGGCGCTACAATCTTTTAAGTTTGGTCCTCATATTACTGTATCTGTTTCATGATCATTTGTCAATCTAATAGGCAAGTAGGTGATCAGCCTTCTGTGAATGACACACGCCGTCGACTTTTTGGGTCTAAGGCAAGCGGTTTCCTCCCAATGTTTTCCTACACCGTTCAAGCGAATGTGAAATGCGCACATATACATTATACAGAACGTCCATTGGTGCACAGCACAAAACAAAATAACCTATCCTTAAACCAGTAAAATAAGTTTGTGACCTTTGGTCGAATTTTGTATCACAAATAGTTAATACGTTGCGCTTTGACCACCACATACCAAAAATGTATAAAATTGTTTAGCCGCGCAGGCTAAAAGCGCCCTTATTATATTCCTTCATACCTTATATAGAAGTATAATTTTGTTTAATCATTATTACTGTATAAGTATAGATTAATAACTGTCAATTTGCAGGATCTTGTATAGTACGTTTACTTTTGATATGACGCACTTGATGTAACCAGACGATGATAAAAGAAATAAGATTCATAAATATTCATCATTCACTTAACAAGGTAATGAATGAAGGTTAGGTCGAATAAATTCAAGGATTTTAAAGTATATTCTTTATAAATTTTCATACAAACTATTTTAAATTTTTGTCGTCATGTCGTGATTTTAATTTAAATGTTTACGAGTAGCGCATGCAAACTAATTAAATTTTTAACAAGGTCAATAGATCTAATATAAAGATTTATAAACAAAGCAAATTGATTTGTTAATAAACATTACTTGCACTTTCCATAATTTGGATTATTTTTCCGTATTAAGTTACTGGAAAATACCGCTTATAAATGCCAGAAAAGCGCTTTTTCAGACTTAAGAACCTTTTCTTCGAGAGCTCAAAACCTTAAACAAGCCTATTTGAAAGTTCACAATAAAACAACAAATTAAGACTCTCAAAGGTCTTTTAGTTCTGAAACAAATATAGGATAAAGTATTTACCATTTACAAGCAAAAACTAATTGTAATGACAAAATCATGTGCGTGTTCCGTGACCAAAGGTCAATCGTTAATTATAGACAAACCAAATCATAGGCTAAAACACTTATCTAGCTTGTGCCCTTCATTAAGCAGACTCTGAGGCCCTCGCTTCGAATCCCGGCATAATAATTGTTCGAATCTAACTCTGATTCATTCATTTCACACACGGCATTACGGCCCTTTTTAACGAGTTTGTTTTTTTGAAAAAATTGTCTTTATTTATATTTGAAACGTTCCTTGATATGTATTTTATGTTATTAGTACATAATTAAACATTCTGTACAGTGTGCATATAAAATAATTTACCCTGTTAAATACATCCAAAAAATTGTTTCCATTTCGTGAAATAAAGCCCACTTTATTATCTAAAACGATGTTTGTTCAACCACATATGCATATAAAAAATTACAAAAACTTATTAATGATAATGCCTCTCACACATCCCTTACCAACAATAGATTTTCGCATTTCCTTTTGAACGATCTCTGCAGAACAGAATGAGCATTAGTTTAAATAAACATTAAACGATTGGCGCTATATATGGGAAGAACTTTTTCTAAGGCAAGTAGCGATTCAGAATTAAGAAACGCTAAGGGTCTGTTTCACAATGTATGGATAAGTTCCAAATTAGCTATTTATTACTTATTGGTAGGATAAACACTATTGTTGCGTTTCACAACTGTCAGATAGCGCTATTGGTCACATAAAGTCCATCATAAGGTATGAGTCCGATGAAGTGTCAAATAGCACAATTTATTTTCCAAATAATTTATGTGTTGCATAGCTATTTGGTACTTTATCCATACATTGTGAAACAGACCCTAAGTGAGACACGTCAAAAATGTGTTGGATTTGACTTAAGTTACTTAGAGCTAAGGTAAAGATTCAACGAGCACGTTCGCTACGTCCGAAATAAGTCTCGATTCTGAATCTGACCGTAAGTGATCACCGTTTGTGACTCAATATTGACTACGAGTTTGTGTTAAAGACGTTGCGCAAAAAAATCTATTGATAAACTGGCACGCACGTGTAGTCCCAAGATTTGGTTAATACTGCATCAGACTTATAGCATATAGGTAACTCCTAGTTTGGAGACAATACAGTACTTCACAGATAAGATATGACATTAGTGACCTCGTCGATTATATGACAAATGTATGTCAACAGTTCAAAGTCCTTAGAACGTCGGATTTGTGTGTTCCTTTTACCTTTGTTGTATTATTTTAATTCACGTTGATTTTGCCTTCCTATCAATGGCATTTTGTTTTAATATGTCAAGTGATAGTCCATAATGTTTACATTTTTTTTGTAACCAAATTTGACGATGAAACAGTTCTCGCCCGCTCTACGCCATTGATTTAGGAACCGGATTTATTAACTTGTCCCTTCTCCAGTACCTCCTGGATTTTGGCCCAGATACAAAAAGGCCTATCCTTGCCTTGTATGTCCTACTTGTTAACCGCTTCTCATTCCTCCGTTCTACATGACCAAACATCTAAGCATTCTATTTCGTATTCTTGTCACATCTTCTTTTTTTAACCCACTCTGTTCACGTATCTCACTATTACTAATCCTATCACGCCATGGTACACACCACACACACTTCCTAACCCTCTCATTTCCACGGCATTTATTCGACTCTCATTCTTTCTCTGTCACACCCAACATACTACCGTATGTTAACAATACTTGATTATTTACATTACAAAATACTCCTTAATAGGCATTACTATTCAATCTATTAAAAATCATCATTGAAAACAAAAGACTGTAGCCTAATCATGTATTTAATCTTATTCTAGATTGTACATAAAAACTTACGTGCAATGCGATCGCCTTCCTTGAAACAAATAAAATCTGCAAGTTGTTCGGTAATATTGTGAACAGTCTTCATACTCTGCTGCTCTTCTTCTGCAAGGCAAGGCTTTACCGCATCTGTCATGTTGCTGAAGCAGACTCTGAATGACGGTGTTTTGTCGCAGTACCTGAAGGGGGATTTTCGAATTTAGAATAGGTGTAAGAAGACGAAGCTAGACTTATTTAGGGAGAACGAGCCTACGGGACTGGCACAAAAGGCAGCTACAGCAACTCATGGACACATTTTCTTAGAGGATGCGTTGGCGGCGTGTAAAGGAGGACGCGGGAGACTACTACGTCTTTTTAAATACCTGTAGATAGCATCTCCTTGGAAAGACTTATTACAACTTAGATTGTTCGGAATGCAAATGGCTAAGTTTTCTGTGCGTTACAAAAGGCTTGAACTTGGCTTGAACTTGAAATGGGTTGCGTAAATATAGTTTAAAATTTAAACAATATTCTCATGGCATTCGGTGACTTCAATTAATTATTAATTATTTTGAAACTTAAACTATTAAATATAATACATACATACAAACATAATAAAATTATTTACGATAAAAAAATTACATTTATTCACAATTAGTCGCAGGAAAATACAACGTTACAAGAAGACACAGACACAATTTCATTGCTATCATATTACTTACTTTTTGAATACCTCATCAACTTGTCCCTGAGGTTTGGCTTCTTCGATCTCTTGCTGTAGCTTGCTAGGGTCCACCAGGGCGGAAATACAACCTTGGAAGCTTTTGAATGCCGACTGAAAATATTAATGTATTTTTTAAAAGATACACTTTGTTGCAGTAATACAGAAATACAGTACAATTTAAATAATTAAATAAAAAGGAGGGCAGCCTTATCGCTTTTGAGCTATCTCTTCCAGACAACCACTGTGAGAAAAAAATCTAAAAAAATTAGTTAGATTTGAGCGCGAGATGTGCAAAACAACATAACACATAAAGTTACTGAGACAAAACTAATTGAACAAAGCGAACCAATTAAAACATATGAAAACCGTGAAAGATGCATTTATACAAAAAGGGACACATTTAAAAGAAATAGAGCACAAAAATCACAATAATTTTCAGTGAACTGAATAATTTTCACTGGGTATTAGTGCCTGGATGCAGTCAATAATCTACAAAATTCCACTAATATGATGATATTCCAGTAATTCAAATCATATCGTTTCACTTAAAATATATTATCTATTATTTAAGGGACACATGGTTTTCTTTATTTTTAAAGATTTAAAACACTACTTATATCTTAAACTTGACTAAATTACCATATACTCCTAGAGCCATATTAGCGAACAAGTGATTTTGACTTTGACAAAGATATTGGGCACAACAAACGAAACAGACAAAACAAATCAGGCAAACATGCAAGCCATGCATACTCCAACAAGAAAGAAAAGGAGTAATCAGCAGGAAGTAGTTAAAGCAGGAAAAGATACCAGAATAGAAGAGACAAGATCTGAAGTCAGAGATAGTACAGAGAAGCGGGAGGCAACTGAGACCAACCAGAATATTCCATTAACATCAATGAAAACCAACAAAATAAGCGCGATAGATGCGACGTCTGCAACAAAAATGGAACTCCCTGTGAAACGCATAGTTCAGAAAAAACTAAATTATATGGAAATAAGTCCAGGGGCTCCAAAATCAACACAAACACTTCCAAACAGAATATCTGAAGCCGCACATATAACACAAAGCGCTACAAAACATATCGAAGCATCGAAAAATCTTAGAGGAGAAATAAAACTGGCGGTCCTGGATGCTATTAAAAGACTTTACGACCTAGTATGCGAAGCGGAAGATCAGAGAAAAGAACAAATAAACAAGAACAAAGAACAAGTAAACAAGAGCAAAGAACAAAGCACTGCAAACAATAGCAAAGAAATGGAAAAATTAGAGCAAATAGAAAATAGACTGATTGACTGGGAAAAAATAAATTTAGAAATGGAAAACAAAATCGAGCGAACAATAAGAACACACCTTAAGACCTACGCAAGTGTGCTCGCAACACACAAAAACGAACCCGCAAGAAAAAATTACATACCGACCAAAACTGACACAGAGCAAATGCACTCCATTATAATCTCTTCCACAAAACAAGAGACGAACACAGAGATTTTGGAACGAATTAAAGTCACTGTAGACCCAAAAAACACTGGTCTAAGAATCGATAAATTAAGGAAAGCAAAAGACCAAAAAGTTGTTATCAGTTGTGACACAAAACAACGTCTAAACGAGGTAACAGAACGAATAAAAAGGGACAATACCCTTACAGTAAAACCGACAAAGGATAAGGATCCGCTAATAATCTTACGAGGAGTCCTACAGGCGCACTCAGATGAAGACATAATGCATTACATCAAAGCCCAAAACGGCCATCTTCTCGATAAAATAGACGAATCGGAAAAGAGAATTGAATTAAAATTTAGAAGGAAAGCTCGGAATCCACTTTTAAATAATATAGTGCTCCAGGTTTCACCACAAGTTTGGAAAGTTATTACGGAGGCTGGGAAGCTTCATATTGAGTTGCAAAGGGTTGTAGCCCAGGACCAGTCCCCACTCATACAGTGCTCTAGATGTCTTGCCTTTGGACATGGGAAAAGATTTTGCGAAATTGAAAAAGACGTTTGCTCACACTGTGGTGGAGACCATAAGAAAAATGAATGCACAAAACACATAGAGGGTAGCGCACCAATATGCATTAACTGCAAAAAAGCAAATGCAGAAAAAACGAACCACAATGCGTTCGATGCTCAGTGCCCAACCAGAGATAAGTGGGATGCGTTGGCTCGATTATCGGTTGCGTATTGTTAAGGTTCCCGCACAGGCTGAAGCGATATTGAAAGTAGATGATAGGTGTCTAGTGTGTCAGATTAACCTTCAAAGGAAGAGGTTGGCGACGAGTGAATTATTAATGGAGGCAAAACGGAAAAGGATCGCTGTAGCATTGATCCAGGAGCCGTACGTGGGACCGGATAAAAAAGTAGAGGGTTACAAGGGGGCAAGGATTTTCCAATGTTTACGTAATGAGGGAGAGACAACTAAGGCGGCGGTGGTTGTCTTTGATAGCGGCATCGATATAACTCAATTTCCTGAATTGACGACCCCCAATGTCGTGGTGGTAGGGCTTCGAACACGTGACTTGGAAATCGTTCTGGTGTCGTATTACTTCGAACCCGTTCCCCATAACCTAACTCCGTACATGAGTCATCTGATGCGAATACATGAGACCTTACAGCAAAATATTATCATAGCAGGAGACGCGAACGCTAAAAATATCTGGTGGTGCAGCCAAAAACCGATCCAAGAGGTGAGGAGGTAGAAACCAAACTGAATCAACTTGGAATGCATGTCTTAAACGATGGTGAAGTCCCTACTTTCGACACCATAAGAAACGGAAAAAGGTTCACGAGCTTCATCGATGTAACTGCATGTACAGAAGACATCCTTGGCAGAATAGATGACTGGAAAGTCGAACCAGATCTAATATCCTCTGATCACAACGCAATAACCTTCAGGATAAAATTAACAAAATCTGAAGGCGCACCATTCAAGAGAACAACTAGGATATACAACACTAAAAAAGCGAATTGGTCGTTATTTAAAGAGAAAATCACACAATTACTAACAGAACACAAAATAAATAGAGAAAATGTAACGGAAAGCATAGATACTAAAGATATTGAACAAGTCGTGGAAAAATATACAGATATAATAATAGAAGCCAGTCACTGTATATTACCCAAAATAAAAACAAAAAATGAAACAAAAGTGCCATGGTGGAATAAAGATTTGGACACGCTCAAAAAAGCAGTCGCAACAAAAAGACGTCGCATTCGTTGTGCAGCTGCTGTTCGAAAAGAAAAAGTAATACGAGACTATCTAGACGCGAAAGAAAAATACGAAACCCAAGCTAGGGAGGCGCAAACAAACAGTTGGAAAAACTTCTGTAGCAAACAAGACAAAGAAAATATGTGGCAAGGAATATACAGAGTCATCACTAGAACATCCAAAAGATACGAAGATCAACTATTACTCAAGGACGGTGAATACAAGAGTCCCAAAGAATCCGCGGAATTACTTGTCAAAACCTTCTTTCCGGACGATGATCAGGAAAATGATACTGAAGAACACAGGCGAGTCAGAGAAACAGCAAGTAGGGTAAACAAAGTGGAACATAATGAAACCCACGATCCACCGTTTACGTTGGAGGAGCTAAACACCGCCGCTTGCAGTTTCAATCCGAAGAAAGCTCCGGGAAATGATGGCCTTACAGCAGATATCTGCTGGCATGCAATTAATGCAAGTCCAGATATATTCTTAGCTGTGATAAACAAGTGTCTCGAAGCAGGTTACTTTCCAAACAAATGGAAAGAAGCAGTAACCATAGTACTGAGAAAGCCAGCCAAAGTAGACTACGGTGACCCAAAGTCGTATAGACCGATCGGTCTACTGCCTATATTGGGAAAAATTTATGAAAAAATGTTTGTCAGCAGACTTAAGTGGCACCTTATACCGAAAACCAGCAAGCACCAATACGGATTTATGCCTCAGAAAAGCACCGAGGACGCTCTCTATACTACAGTGAAATATATACGCAAAAAACTGGAACAAAAGAAAATACTTACTCTCGTCTCACTCGATATAGAGGGCGCCTTTGACAGCACGTGGTGGCCCAAAATAAAAATTCGACTGGCAGAAGAAGGCTGTCCGGTAAACCTCAGAAGAGTTATGGATAGTTATTTAGAAAATAGGAAGGTGACACTAAGATATGCTGGAGAAGAGATAAGCAAGGGAACAACAAAAGGGTGCGTCCAAGGCTCTATCGGAGGCCCTACCATATGGAACCTGTTAATTGACCCCCTTCTTAAGGAGTTGGCACATAGAACGGAATATATGCAGGCATTCGCGGATGACGTACTGATAATATTTGAAGGGAACAGTGGGCAGGAGATTCAATTGAAAGCCAACCGTGTCCTTGCCTTCGTACACGAGTGGGGTGCCCGAAACAAACTTAAATTTGCGCCTCACAAGACCAAAGCCATGGTGGTAACGCGCAAACATAAGTTTTATACCCCACGCCTTGCCATGAACTCAGAACCAATCAGCATCGATAAACAAATTAAAGTATTGGGAGTTGAAATAGATCAAAAACTTACATTTAACGGCCATATAAAAAACGTTTGTAATAAGGCAATCAAAATTTACAAACAGCTATCTAAAGCAGCCAGAATTAACTGGGGACTAAATTCGGATATTATCGCAAGTATATATCACACTGTAATAGAACCTATTATTACTTATGCTGCTGCGGCCTGGGCACCATCTGTGAAAAAGCTTTATGTACGCAAAACACTGGGCAAGCTACAACGAGGCTTTGCCCAGAAAATATGTAGGTCCTACCGGACGGTTTCACTGAACGCCTCCATACTACTCTCAGGCACACTGCCTCTGGATCTAAGAGTACAAGAGGAAGCTACTATGTATGAAGCCAGAAGGGGTTTATCTCCGAGTGGATTAGAGGATCTTAAGATAGAACGAAGGTCATCATTTAAGGATCTACCACACCCTGCAAAACAAACAGGCCTACATTTTAACATCGTTGATATCCACGAACGGCTGGATAACGAAGAAATCCTAAAAATGTATACCGATGGTAGCAAGACTAACCTCGGAGTGGGCGCGGCTTGGTCTAAATGGGAAAATGGAAGCGAAACGGAAAATCTAAAAATCAAGCTATCACGACATTGTACTGTATACCAAGCTGAATTAATAGCCATCCGCAGTGCAGTCGATGATGTCATCAAAAACAAAAAACATGCCGCAATTTATAGTGACTCACGCGCGTCCCTGGTAGCCGTCACGGGCGAACGCTCTCTAAATCCTCAGGTAGTTGAAATTCGTCATAAGCTAAGAACAAGCCGAGAAAAAGGCATCAACATAGACCTTCATTGGATTAAGGCCCACATCGGTATACCGGGAAATGAGAGAGCGGACGCCTTAGCAAAGGAGACGGCGGAAACATTGGGGACAAAAGTGGATTACGTAAAGATACCGCTTTCTTACATCAGGAAAGAGGTTAGACAGAAAACGATATCGGAGTGGGACAAACGGTACAAAGATACCCATACCGCTAAAACAACAAAATTCTTCATAAGTAGTGTTATAGACGGGTACAAAATTATTAGACAAAAAAGACCTAGCCCACAAATGATGCAGATCTTAACAGGACATGGGGCGTTTGCTGAATACCTGCACAGATTTGGCTTGAAGTCAGATCCGTCGTGTACGTGCGACTCACAAACGAGTCAGACAGTGATACATCTCATTGTAGAATGTCCTGTATTCGGAGCCTCCAGGTGCGATCTCGAGCAACAAATCAATACAAAGGTAACAACCGAGCATTTACCGGATATATTAAAAAACTTCAGATCGCAACTGGAAGATTTCTGCAGTAAGGTAGTGAGATGTGTCACTCGCTGCAACAAGAGCGTAGCAGAGGTGAGACGGGCCCCCACTGGCCCATGAATATAAAATAGAAATATGTGTATTTTTATATATGGATATATATGTATATTAGGAAATCTCTTAGTGTATGTATGTATGTATATGTTTCTACAAAATATATGTACAAAATAAGGTCCCGCACCACAAGAGTCGGGGATAGTGGGAAATTTATATTTAAAAAAAAAAAAAAAAAAAAAAAGGGACACATGGGTTTCTTTAAATTCCGATTTATTATTAAACTCCTAATCAAAAAGACTACCCAGAAATGTATATATCTTAATATATATAAATTACGTGTCACGTTGTTTGTCCGCTATGGACTCCTAAACTACCGAACCGATGTCAATCAAATTTGCACACCGTGTGTAGTTTGATCCAACTTAAAAGATAGGATAGCTTACATCTCAATTTATACCCGCAATATTATTTTATTACAAATATTTGTTTATTTTTTGATACAATTCTAACAGATGCCGCTGTGTTAAAAGTACCAACGTTTCACATAAGCTATCTACCTTTCACATAAGTTCTCCTACGGTTTCCCTTGAATAGTTTACTACCATGTAATATAACAAAAACCTTACCCACAGCAACGCTTGGCCGGTCTGCTAGTATATTATAAATTATTTGTGTTTTATTATCACACACTTGAAGCCTAAATGAGCCCTTTAGTTTTTCCCACACTCATAAATTGTAATATCACATTCTCGTTTCCGATAATGTCCAATAGGTCTAATATGTCGACACTTATATTGAAGTGTCACTTTGATATAAGAACCCTTAACGTCGCAACCCCACTATCCCTAATTTTATGTTAGTTATAAGCTCATATTTTAAATGAGCTGTCACCCAGCTTTAAACAAAGTAGTTCATTTAACATATATTTGAACATATCTACAACAACCGCCACGGAACTTAACTCGTGTGAAGTAATATTATTCGTCTAACCTTGCCTCCGGAACTTCGCTATATATCAAGTAAAGAATTAATTATATTTTCCTGGAACTTCGTTAAATATGCACAAAGCTTTACCAAACTTAGGTTGCTTGACACTTGAGAGATTGGTATTTCGCTTTGTAGCTATTTGGGTCAGGCGTTCTAGTACTAAATTCATTTAAAACTGATACAATCGGAGCAAGGGAATTCTGCGAGATTTTCGTTTAAAAAGTATTGTTATACCTTTTCTAGGCGGAGTTTAACAAAATATCGTAGTTTGTATTAAGCTAATTATTTATTTATTAACTTCGTTATCGTAAATTATATATAACAAAACACAATTATACTAAAGATATAGCCAAAGATGGAATACATAATATTATATAGAAAAAGGTTCAAACACTTACAAAAGGAAAAATCCAATAAAAATAATTAAATACATTTAACTAAGCAATACCTAACTCGGCTGTGTTGTGTGAAGTTGAGAGTGTGTAGGTGTGAATGTGAGGAGTGCTTAGGATGCAGCCTTGCGATTCTGTAACTCACTTTTCGAACTCACACAGCGGTTTTCACAGCGGCGGGCGCGCTCAAATCAGTCGTGAAGCAGTCATTTTATATTTGGCATTCTGATAAACAATAAACTACAATCTCCCTCCTTATCAGAACGCCAAATCATAAAATGACTGCTTCACGACTGATTTGAGCGCGACCGCCGCTGTGAAAACCGCTGTGTGAGTTCGAAAAGTGAGTTACAGAATCGCAAGGCAGGTGTTTGATCGCTTAATTAAAAAATCAGTGGCGTCACGTTTTACACAACCTAAAACGTTTCTAATAGGCACTTCTGTCCAAGTCACACGCCGTCGACTTTGGGTCTAAGGCATGCCGGTTTCCTTACGACGATTTCCTCCGCCGTAAGAGTGTTAAATTTGCAATCGAACCTTCAACCTACGACATCATGAGAGTCGCACGCTGACACATCACATAGCTATATTTGGTTGTGATAATATTTGTATATTTCCAAAGGACTACCCTTAATATACCCAATAAATAAACCTTATGCGTCGACGAGTGAAAGCATGTGATATACTTTACAATTTAGATCTATATTTTAAAACTGTGTAAACTTTTCAATTAGATAAAATATATAGTACCAAATATTTGACCTTAATAACAATTAATAACCTAATTGAAGCAACGTTATCAAAATCTTATCGTTAACGATATCATAACATCCGTTTAATGAATATCTGTTCATTAATTCATCGATTCCTTTCTTTCTATGAAAATGTAATAAAGCGTAAATAAAGAAAATACAATCAAGTTAAATTATAATTTTCTAAAATAAATAGTTAATTACTATCATTATTTTGTATCAACCGACATGTATGTAAAGATACAGAATAATTTAATTGCAAATATTAACTTATTTTTAAAATATTTAGAAAAGTGTCTAATTCTACGAAATGTCATGTATGGAGTGTCATATTAATAAGGCTTCTTAGGAGGTATTTATTTGTGATTGCTTTACATGAGAGACAAGAGGAAAATCTATTTCTTGACGTATTTAAAATAACCTTATGTTCAAGGTTAAATTAATTTATATAATTTTAAGTATTGCAATTTTCGTTTATCATTTATAATTACTACTTTGTAAACTATGTGATTTTTTTTATTATAGGGGAGGGCGGGGCTGGTACTAACAAATTCTGTATTATGATTTATATTTTCGTTGATAATAGACTTTTTCGTTTCATTTTTTATTGAAAACATGCTTTGGTTATTCAGCTATGATATTAATAACAAAAATCATCAGGTATGTAAGTGCTTCCAGAAAGAGAGCCATGAAAACCAAAAAAGTCATTTGTTAATATATACCCCGCATGTGGGGCGAATATTAACGAAGCTGGGGTAAGTATTAACGTAAGGGGCAATTAATAACAGATACTTGAATTATATCAAATACTCAAATAAAATGTCACTGAAATTAATGAAAAAGTTTTATTGCCTTCAATGTTAAACAAATTAGTACTTTTTATGATAGGAACTGAAAGAATATAACAAATTCTTTTAAATCTACACTTAATAATAATCATTGCTACAGTTTGAATAGTTTTAAGCCTAAAAAAAATTAAACACATAGTTTAAACTTAATATTTTAAAGTTACTTACTTAAACTTAAACTTTTTAGGTTCAACAGTCTTTAAGTTTCTTAATGGAGTAGAAAAAATAGTATTATCTTATAAATCTGTTACGAACATTTTTTTAAATAGTTTAAACATAATAATTAAATAAAAGTCACATAAACATTTTAGTATCAGTCTTAAAAAACCTCTATGAGTTACCTTAAGCAATACAGTATTTTAAATCTACTTGATATTCATCAACAAATGTCACAGTGTTAATACTTTTTAGTATGAGACAGTCTTTAGGTATATTAATAAGGTAACTAGTTAAATCAGTCTTAATCTAATTTGTACTTAAACTTAGACAGGAAATAAGTACTTCAAATCAGGCAATAATTAATCAGAATACGATTTCTCTTCATCTGAGAAACAGTTGAGGCATATGTATTTTCTGGTATCACCTCTAATACAGGTGATATGAGCCCATCCTTTGCATAAAATACATTGTATCCAGTCAAGTCCAGATGTGTCTTCATTATAAGACTCGGCACAAACCAAACAAAAGCAGGTATCTTCTTCACTAACGTCCTGCAGAATATGCTTCTTAACCTTTTCTACTTCTTCTCTCCGGGTTCCTTTACTTTTCCCTTTGCCTTTACCCTTATTTTTAGTTTCAGTCAGACTAGTTTTTATCTTTTTTGATGATTTTAATTTTGCTTCCTCCTCTAAGGCCAATTTTTCGGGAGTATCAGTGAGAATCGTTGATTTCCTTGAACGCTTTCGTTTGGATTCGACACGTGGAGGTGCTTTTGGAAGCGGTCTTATTGTTTCTACGTTAAAACATTCTGTTGGCTTTGTATTTGATGGTCCTGGTTCATGAGACGGTCGCTGTTTATTTGATGGTACGTGTGATAGTTTATCAATAACCTCTGAAATACTTATGTCAATATCAGGCATGCTATGTAAAATTTCATTTTGGATTGAAGAGTCTAAATGTAGTGATACTTCTTCTGGGTTGACAGAAATATCTCCAGGCTGAAGTGATCCCTGGTTGCCCATCGAAGCAGTATTTGGATCGGGACGATCAGTAACAAGTTTAAATAGCGTTACGTGACAAATATCGTATTCAGTAGCAACATCTCTATTTTTACCAGAACTTCTTCAGCTGCCAGCTCAAATACTTTTTGAGACGTAGACCCCCTTGTACTCTTCCTTTTGTAATTTCTCATTCTATAAAAAAACGTACTTTTTGCAAAAAACAGTCGTTTAATAACACATGTTAATACTGACCCCACCCAATTTGTTAATTTTAGCCCCAAGGTCACTTTTTATATTTTATCAATTATAGAAAATAAACTAATCAAAATAATTAGAAACAAGTATAATAGTTTTAAAATCAATAAAATACAATTCCATTTAGGATTAACTTTGATTAAATTTAGCGTAAAAATAAATCTTAAATCAATTTATTACGAAGTACAAAAAGTTTGTTTACCTGTCAATTCAAAGTTATTACGCACAACTATCACTAGCGACGGCCGATCGATAACTGACAAGTTAGGACACGTTCGGCCGTGTATTCTAGTTATTCTAAACCGAGCCTCATTTTTTTATCACTTCACGTTTGGCGGGTATAAGCTTGTTAATTCTTACCTCCGTTAAAACCAGCCCCGCCCTCCCCTACTAATAAAAACCGTAAACTATAAAGGAAAGGATTCACCATAAGTATGGGATTAGTCATTTGTATCTCACACACGCCATAGATTTGTTTAAGTTCTGACAGACATCCTAGCTTCACAATATTATTTGATAAGCAAAACAAGAACTTATTACACGGATTTCAAACGCACGACCTAGTAACCACGGTGTAGTAGGCAATCTTAACCACATACTGGTATACTTGGTAATAACATCATGAGGCAACGGCGTATGGACGGAACAGGAGAGTTCATGAACATCCTC